AGTGATGACTGTAGGCACGGTTGAAAAGGAAAAAGTCCTAGGTAGAGGGGACAAGGCAGAGGGATTGAAGCAGGGAGTTCTATAGTTTCAGGGTGAAGTGCAGAAGGCATGACTGACAATGGTGGACGCTGCCACCTATAAAGATCAGAAACAAAGGAGTGCTCCCTGATGCACAAATTGTGTGCTGGCTGGTACCAAATTGGATCAATGCACCAAACTGCTGGGTTCTTCGAGCAAACAAATTAGTGCTTGTAATGTACAGTGCAAAGGGAATCTATTTTCTTTTGTCTAAATTAGTCTTTCAAGAATAACTCTCATTTTTCAGAGACACACCCACTTTATACAGGTCTAAAATACCTGGCAAGTCTGGGAAGATCTTAAATCATGATGCAATGAGGCATCTAACAGGACTCTTTATGACCAAAAGTCATTAGCATAATAAATGTTCTAATTAATTGTGTACAATTTAAAACAGCAAGCTATACATTCATATAGTTATGATGATGATGTGGAGTCCTGTAACTCAGCGGTTAGAGCACCCGCCTCGCAAGCAAGAGACCTGGGTTCGATTCCAGCAGGGCAAAACCTTGAGTACGTTTCCTTCCTCCACATGCCTGATAATAATCCCTCAAGAAAAAAAACAATAATAAGTTGGTCACTTCAAACCATGACTATTTGTGGGACACTGCTGTGTGCAATTAGCTGCCACGTTTTGCCCACAAATATAGTCAATTCACTTTACAGTCTATTCTGTGAAGTGCTTTGAGACGTCTAGAAGAAGTGAAAAGCGCTATATCAAATGCAAGGATTATTATTATTATTATGATCTCAGGTGCCAGGCAGTACTCAAACAGAGGAAAGTGTTGTTGAATTGTTAAACTATGAAAAAGCCAACAGTGTAACCAAGCCATCATATTAAAAGCAAGCAGGAAATAACCACTTAAATATAAAATATACAAGCACAATGCAGAGTTGAAGAATTGATGAGAACAGTTTAGAGGAAAACAGACTAGTGCTCATTTTAAATGCACCGCAATATATTCTACAGGGAGCTGGAAAGACGGGTGGGTTGGAAAGAGCACACAATGTCTCGACATCCCTAAAATATTTCCTTTCTCTTTTAGAAAGCCACCATGCATGGATGCAACAAGATGAGAATGAATACATTGCATACAATAATAATAACCTTTGCCTTATCACATTTCACAGAATATTGCAATTGTCATTGGGGACCCAATGGTGAAAGGAGTAGACAGGCGTGTGGGCAACCAAAGACGTGACTCTCGCATGGTATGTTGCCTCCCTGGTGCCAGGGTTGAAGACACTGTAGAACAGATGAAAAATATTCTACAGGGGGAAGGGGAACATCCAGAAGTGGTGGTCCATGTTGGGATCCATGACGTAGGGGGAAAAAAGGGTTGAGATCCTACAGGGAGAATATCAGAAGCTAGGGAAAAAGTTAAATAGTAGCACCTCAAAGGTAGTGATATCTGGATTACCCCCAGTGCCTCGTGCAAGTGAGTATCAAAAGAGCAAGATCAAACACATGAATGCATGGCTGGAGAAATTAAAAGGTAGACTTCAGGTTCCTGAATCATTGGGATCAGTTCTGGGGCAGGTGAGACCTGTACAAGGTGGATGGGTTACACCTGAATAGGGTTGGGACCAATGTCCTCGCAGGGTGGTTAACTAGTGCTGTGGGGAAGGGTTGAAACTAATTTCGAGGGGTGAAAGGAATTACGATGTAGCATTAGAGAGGACAAACAAGTTACATAGAGGGCTTGGGGAGACGAAAAGCTATATAATCAGGAGTAATCCAGAAAAAGGAGGGATTAGACAGGGGAGAAATGCAAAACAGATTAAGTCAGTCTTGGATTGCATATGCATAAATGCACGGAGTGTGACAAATAAGATTGGTGAGCTGCCGGCTCAAGTTGCCACATGGGGTTATGATGTAGTGGCAATAACGGAGACCTGAATCAAACAAGGGCAGGAATGGGAGCTGAATATTTCTGGCTACAATGTATTCAGAAGGGATAGGGAAGGGAAAAGAGGGGGCTGGTAATATTTAGAAGACACGTTACTGCCCTGGAAAAGAACGATGTGCTGGAGAGTTCAAAAACAGAATCTCTGGTTAAGGAGCAGAAAAGGAGCTGTTACATTATTAGGTGTATACTATAGCCCACCAAATGCTGGGAAGGAGAGAGACGAGCAAATCTGCAAGCAGAATTCAGGAAGATGCAAAAGCAATAGCGACAATGGGGGACTTCAATTATCCTAACATAGACTGGCAAAATAACAGTGTAAAGGGCAAGGAGGGGGAAGGATTCCTGAAATGTGTGCAGGATAACTTTCTGGATCAGTATGTTTCCAGCCCAATGAGGAAGGAACCAGTGCTGGATCTAGTTCAGGGGAATGAAGTGGGGGCAAGTGGAGCAGGTTTCAGTAGGAGAGCATCTGGACAACAGTGATTGCAACATCATTAGGTTTAGAGTACTTATGGAAAGGGACAAGGAGCAGTCAAAAGTGAAGATACTCAACTGGAAGAGGGCTAATTTCAGTGAGTTAAAAAGGGACCTAGTCAAGGTGGACTGGAAAGAAAGATTGGCAGGTAAAACAGCTAATGAGCAATGGGAAGCCTTCAAGGAGGAGATAGTTTGGGGACAGAACAAATACATTCCCACAAAAAAAGAAAGGTTGGGCATCCAAACCTCCCTGGATGAATAAGGAAATTGGGATTAAAATAAAACAGAAAAAGGAGGCTTATGATAAATGTCAGGTCCAAAATACAGAAGATAATTAAGTAGAATATAGAAAGTACAGAGAACTGAAAAAGGAAATAAGAGATGCAAAGAGATTGTATGAGAAAAGATTAGCGGGTAACATAAAAAGGAACAATAAGCATATAAAGAATAAATGGTTAGTCAAACGTAGGGTGGGTCCAATTAGAGACCAAAGAGGAAATCTTCTTGTGGAAGAGGCTGGCATACTGAATGAGTACTTTGCATCTGTCCTCACAAAAGAGGATGCAGCCAATGCCACAGCATCGGAGGAGAGGGTAGATAAATTGGATAAAATAAGAATAAACCAAGAGGTTTTAAAAAGGTTGACAGTGCCCAAGGTAGATATGTCACCCAGTCCGGACGGGGTGTATCCTAGGTTACTGAGGGAAGGGTGGAAATAACAGAGGCTTTGGCCACAATTTTTCAATCCTCCTTGGACACCTGGGTGGTGCCAGTGGTCTGGATGGTTGCAAACTATTACTCCCCTGAACAAAAAGGGGCAGAAGGATAAACCCGGGAACTACAGATCAACATCAGTAGTGGAGAAACTTCTAAAGACTATAATCCAGGACAAAATTAATTTTGTCAACACAGATTTGTTAAAGGCAAATTGTGTCTAACAAACCTGAGTTTTTTGATGAAGTAACAGAGGGTGGATGAAGGTAGTGCAGTTGATGTAGTTGTATGGATTTTCAAAAGGCGTTTGATAAAGTGTCACATAAGAGATTTGTAAACAAAACAGAAGCCCACTGTATTAGAGGGACAGTGGCAGCATGGATACAGAACTGGCTGAGACAGAAAGCAAAGAATAGTGGTGGATGGCTGATTTTCTGACTGGAGGGAAGTGTGCAGTGGTGTCCCCCAGGGGTCGGTATTGGGACGACTGCTGTTTTTGATCTATATACATGACCTGGACTTGGGTATAGGGAGTACAATTTCTAAGTTTGCAGATGATACTAAGATAGGAAAAGTAGGAAACAGTGAGGAGAATAATAGCAGACTACAAATGCATAGACAGACTGATAAAATGGGCAGACACGTGGCAAATGAAGTGTAATGTGGAGAAATACAAAGTGATGCATTTTGGGAGGAAGGAGAGGCAATATAAGCTGATGGTACAATCGTAAACAGGGTGAAGGAACAAAGAGCCCTGGGGGGTTATATAAGTAAATCTTTGAAGGTGGTAGGACAGGTAGATAGAGCTGTTAAAAAAGCATACAGGATACAAGGCTTTATGAATAGGGGCACAGAATACAAAAGTCAGGAAGTTATGATGAACCTTTATAAAACACTAGTTAGGACTCAGCTAGAATACTGTGTTCAGTTCTGGGCACCTCACTTTACGAAGGATGTCAAGGCATTGGAGAGGGTGCAAAGGAGATTTACCAGGATGGTACCAGGAATGAGGGACTTCAGTTACCAGGAGAGGCTAGAGAAGCTAGGATTATTCTCCCTGGAACAGAGAAGGTTAAGAAAAGACATAATAGAAGTTTTCAAAATTATGAGAGGATTTGATATGGTGAACAAGCAGAAACTATTTCCACTGCTAGGTGAGTCGGAATCCCGAGGACACCAATTTAAAATAGTTGTTAAAAGAAACAGAGGGGAGGTGGAATTCTTTTTAAATATATATATATATATATACACACACACACACACACAGTTGTTCGGATCTAGAATACATTGCCTGAAAGGGTGGTGGAAGCCGATTCGATAACAGCTTTTAAGAGAGTAATTATTTGGGGAGGACAAGTCTGCAGGGTTACAGGGAGAGAGCGGGGGAGTGGGATTGATTTGAATAGCTCTTTTCAAAAGCTGGCAGACACAATGGGCCGAATGGCCTCTTTCTATGCTGTATAATTCTATGAATATACTGTAAAGTGAATTGACTGTATATCTTGTGAGCGAAATGAAGCAGCCAATTGCACACAGCAGTGACCCACAAACAGATTATTACCTCCAAAAAAGCGATCTGGCAATCGACTGTCAACCAGGTTCCTACTTTCTGCTAGGTAAATAAAGGCGCGTGGAGTAAGGAAACTTGCCTAACATTTTGCAGGTCTTCTCGCTTGCAAGACGAGTGTGCTTACCACTACATTATAGGACTCCTCAATACTTATCCATTAATACAATTGTGTCTTAATTCAAGGCACTTCCTGGTTAATAAAACATCTGCATCAATTAACCTTTATATAAATGACAACAACTTGAAACATATGCAAGTAGATTTAAGTTTTATTTACAAATGCTGACATTTTTGTAAAAGGTATTCAAGAAAAAAAACTTCTTGAAATATCATTAGAAATGAAATACTTCCATACAATATAAAACACCAGCAAAACTGTGAAAGTTCAGTGAACGTTAGAACCAAATCAATGTTTAGCAATTTATTTCATAAAGTGCATTTTAAATCTAATTAGCCAGCTTCTGTATTGTTGAACAATACAATCACAATTAGTTTTGATTGCTGATTCCATCTTATAAAAGCTATATCTTAACATTTTATTTATAGTACAATTTTCTCAACAATTGAAGGAGAATTCTTCTGAAACATGACACATTTGATACTACTAATCTGGTGATTGTAAAATCAGAAAGCCATTAATTATGGCAGTCTACCTTCCTTTATCCCACTACCTGCCCAAGTGGCTATTGTTCGTGTGTAAGTCTTGGCATTAATTATTGGCAGGCCACTCAACTGTGGAGGGCATCACGTCCTCACCAGCTACCATCCATGTACAATTCTGTATAATTTAATTGTTGTTCAGTTATGGCAATACCTTGAAGTCAAATATAGAAGGATTAGTACTGCTGAATTCCTATCACAAAATATCCAATAATGTTTGTTCATCTAAGTGTAACATCCATTAAATGAAGCTCTGCTACCTTCATATCTCCAATTCATTACTCTTCAAAACTAGAAAAATGAATATAGAATTTCCCAGTCTGTTTGTCAAATTTGACTCCTCAAACTTATTGGCAATATTACAATTTGATTTGCTTTGGCTACTGCATTTCAATAGTTGATTATTAAATATACAGTATATATGAATAACTGTAATAAGCTTATTATAGAAGTAACTCATGAAAGCACTTGCACTACATTAAACTCAAACATCTACATTAAGATACTTCTAAAGTTTTGTTCCATTAAAAAAGGATTTTAAAAAACATTGTGTCCAATTAATTTTCTCCCCATTGGTATAAGCCTGTTTGCGGTCCCCACCTTTTAATGATAAAGTTTGGTTCAATAGGCACTGATTGCTCTCCTCTACCCAAGTGGCCATTGTTCATGTGTGAGCTTGGCATTAAGTGTCAGCAAAGCACTCAACCATAGAGGGTATCACATCCTGACCAACAACAACAACAACTTGGATTTCTATAGCGCCCTCCACGCTGGACGGCATCTCAGAGCGCTTCTCAAAGCTACCAGCCATGCACAGCAGAGGGTATAGGAGATACTGAAGCGAGATTCGGACCACTAAACCCAGCTGATTTTTACTTCCTTAACCTGGGAAAGGCTAAGGGCAATTCAGTCTTACCACACAGCCCCAGAGGAGACTAACAAACTCAGCATAACCAAAGTTTGAACTAGTGAGATCCCAGTTGGTAATCGGAATCTCTATCCACTACATAAAGATGCAACTCTATTCATTGAACTGTTAAGGTGGAGTTGCCCATAGAAAATGCTGGCTGGACAGCAGGCGATTCTACATAAGAATTTTCAATTTCTAGTTTGATACCTAATTTCTTAATTTTAGAATATCTGAATAAGGTTTCTTCATGTGTTAGGCAATCTTGCACACCTCAATTAATTGTTGGCAGAAAAACAAATGTCCTACTACTTGTGCTAGTGAGTTGCTTTCAACATTGGTTCGGATTTCACTTCATTCAGTAGGCAATGTTATACAAATTTGTTTCAAGAAAATTTAAAAGGAAAGTGGGAATGAATAGTTCAAAAAAGCAATAGTTTTTAAGTCACATAGCATCATACTTCAGCTTGTTATCAAAAAAAACTTTTTAAAAAGTATTGAAGATTTTTCTAAGAAATATCAACTTCATGTAGTTGAAACATTCTGAATAAATCAAGGAACTTCATAATTTCATAAAGCATTTGTATTCACATTCACTCCATTGTTCAGGAGGGCAGGCAGTCTCAAACATCTTGTTAATCAGTATTCCATGGTCAACGTTTTACTAAACTACATAATGAAGTTCTATTGATAACAGTCATCCCTGCACTTGGAAAGAGAATGAATGCCCATGTTTACCCCAGAATCCAATGACTCGTTGGTTTAAACCTTTTCATAAAACTCCATTGTTAATAAAGGTTGGAAAAGCTGTCAAAGGATATTTGGCTTTAATTTTTAAACTTGAAAGATTTCAAGCTTTTATTGCAGAGTATGCCCTGAGCCCCAATACAATATAGCAGCTGCAGCACCTATTCAAATAATTCTGAGGAGAACAGTGGAGTATTCACTTTGACATTTCTACTAAGTGAGTGCTAGGTCATTTTTCCATATAAATTTTCAATTCATTATTGACAAGGAAATGGCATCCTGAGAATTATTGTCACATTATTAAGCAAGTTGTTTTAAACAAAAAAAAAGTTTATATGGTTAAAAACCCAGTTATCAAATCGTGACCTAAAAATATTGAAAAGATATTGAACTCAAAAGTATTGGCCTCCCCCGTGTTAGATATACGGCACAGCTACTTCGAAAAATACTGTAGTTGACTTTGGTTTACTAGAATTCATCTGAATGGATCTAGAAGCCTGGCAAGTTACTGTGTGTCCTTGTCCAGGGAGTGTAGATACAAGGACACGCTGGTAATGGCCACTAACAGTGCAACTAAGCCAGTTAACAACTGTTGGAACCAGACACAACGGGTGATCTGCTCCTCAAGTCTTTTATTCAATATCATCAATCTCGTCATCTGTTTAAAAATAAAAAGTAGCATTAAACAAAAATCCACATTTATAAAACTCTACATTTAACAATGGGAGCAGTGGATGCTTGCCAATAAATTTAGAATTCACAGACATTTATCAAAGATATGGGACAATGTTGAAAGCAGGGAAAGATATACGAAGGTGAAATGATTTTGGATACCAGAATGTTTCAGAAGACAGGCTGTGGTGGCTGAAAATCTCAACCATGTGGAAAAGGATCAGAAGAGATAGTGCATATTGATATCAAGGCTTGAGAACCTTAGAGGATGAGAAGGAAGGATTTGAAAAAAAAATCACTGTTGTGGGACAGGGAGCAATTGGAGATTGATGTCCTGTGCAAACTTCCACATTTATAAAAGTTGGTCAGCAGTGTTCTGGCAAGAAAATAGTGCAAGTGAGCAACGTTCCAGAAGTAAAGACCATTCTGGTAATCAATCCTATATGTAGTCTGAAACCTAGCTCAGTAAAAACAATACTGACGTTGGATTCCAAAGAAATTTACAGCACCAAAGTCAGCCATTCAACCCATCAGGTGTACAATGGGTCTTTCAAGAACAATCCTTTCAATCCCATTTACCTGTCTTTTCGCCATACCCTTTGTAGTTTACTCCTTTTTAGATATTTATCTAGCTCCCTTTTGAAAGCCAATATGGATTCTGCCTCAAACATCATGCTTGGCAGGCCATTCCATTCCCCAATTACCCCGATTCAGAGTGAGCAAACAACCAGGTAGGGAAATTACATATGGTAAACCAGTGTAATTGGTTATCCTCAAGGCTGCAGTTTCGTACTTGGCAAAGTTTATTTTATGTTTTGCTGTGCAAAAGTGAATCAGAGATCGATTTAGCCACATTAAAGCTAGTTCTCTGCCAAAAGATTCCCTGAACCTGCAAACATCTCTCAAATGAAAATTGGGAGCCAGGAGGAAGAAACGATAGTTTAATATTGAGAAAATTAAAGTTAAAATGGGACAGAGGAAATAATGGACCCGAAAAGAATCTTCTTTTGCCCAACAATGATAGTTTTATCAAATGTAAGATTTTTTATTTTCTTTCTTCAAAAATCAACAATTCAAAACCTAGATAGCTTTTTTGCTTTCCGTTAAATCTTTGATGAGTTAACGCATCTCCTTATAAAATGGAAGATATTGGACCAAGGCGACTACAATATAGAGAGGTTCTGAACAAGTCTCTGCTCAGTGAAGCCGTGATTGAAGATAAAAGACAAGATCTCATTTTATTCATAGAAAGCAAGAACTTCACCTTGTTGGCAATAGAAAATAGGGGATGGATGGGGGCTGAGGAGAAATGGAAAATCAGGCTTTGTTAAATTGAAGATGGAAAGGTAAAAATAATTTAATCTGAGCTGTTTTTAAAAAGCACACAATCATCATATTGACCTTAAGTATTATGGAATCTCATTTATAGGAAATAAGTGAAGAATACGTTCACCTAATATTTTTCCCCAAATTAAGAACATTGATTGATCAAAAATTATCCAAATACGTGGTCAGTGACCTTGTAGCAATAGATTTGTATCAAAAAAACAACCCCCCTTAAATACCTAGCATGTATTCTAAGGAGCATACAGTTTCTAATTCAGAATAAAAAATGCTACTATAGATGGTCTAAGCAACAAAGAATTGCACTTGATATGAACATCAGGTCTTGAGAGATAAGTGGAAATATTGCAAAATGCACATTTGCATTTTACAATGAAGTGTACTTTGACTGTTGCTTCAGGAATTTTAGTTTTCCAATTATTTCATGTCCTTGAAATTCATCACTGTGTTGTGATGAAGCACGACAGCTAAATTGAATTCCAGGTATATAGCTTTTGAATAAATCATGCATTTCAAATTAGATATGTACACTTATCTCATTGAGTCATCTCACTTAACCAGACAAAGTTTCTCCCCTAACACTAGAAGATAGAAACCACGTTGTTCAGTTAGTGATTTGGGGGATCTGTTGAGGACAACTATTTGGGACCCTCTGAATTTCTGAAGCCCTAAATATTGATGTGCGCACACTAATAACATATACAAAACAAATATAAACCTACATTAAATTCTTTTTCACCCCAGCTACTAGATAATTTTGTTAACAATTTAGTTTTGTTGGCGTCAAAAAATTGTAACATGTAGTTCTTGATCTTGGTTTACATATTCTATATATTCATTCAGTTTAAATCAAAAATCAGAAAATATTTTCTTCTTTTACATGCTTAAGTTCTTCTTCTGAGGACAAAATCAATTTAACAACGATTGTTGAACCTCCAGAAACGGCACTCAAATTTATAGCCACGATTCAGCTGTGGGAAAATCAAACACGCAGAACTCCAAAATTGATAAGTAGCACTTTAATATGAAAATCTGCTTGTATTAAGAGCAATAATCCTCAAATTTGATATAGCGCCTTTCATATTTCATGTAAGAAGGTGTCTCAAAGCGTTTCACAGGATACACTATAAAGTGGAGTGATTATCTGTATTTTGTGGGAAAACGCAGCAGTCAATTTACACAAAGCAATGGCCCACAAACAACCATGAAATAAATGATCTATTTTATTTGGGGATTGGTTGACCAGAATGCCCAGAAAAACTGCCTTCTCTTATTGAATCTTGCCACAGGATCTGTAGCAGGATTGCTAAGTAAAACTGTTATCACGTCAGGCGCTCAATGGAGCCAGTCCTCCCTTCCCACACCAGATTATTTTCTGCCCAATCATTAGCTGCGTTAAGAAAAAATGTGCAGAATTGCATATATACAAAAAAATGTCTCAAAGCTTCTGATGCAAACAGCCGTAGCTTTCAGTTTATTAGAAAACGGAATAAGGGAGGAAAACCAGATTACTTGAAAGAATGTCTATGGAAATGAAAAAGGTGAAAGCTTATCTACCTTTGAATGTAAATCCTCTTGATTGCAACCACCAGCATATCCTTTTAAAATGCCTTCTTTGGTGGTAACGTTACTTGCTTTATAACTTTCTATGATGTGGCATCTCAGTCTGCAATACAAACGATGAAATGCAAATACTGTAATGCTTGTAATAGTAACAGTGACTCTTCAGCCAATTTAATTTTCACATATTTTAAGTCCACAAGTATTTAGTTTTGTCTGTGTGGAGAGGGAGACATGTGATTGTAGCAAAAACTGAATTCACAAAAACAACTGATAAGAGATGTCAACTGTATGAACTTAAAATTACTTTTCTTTCTCACCAACCTACCCTCCAGTAAGCAGTAGAAATTAATTGTGTTATCTTCAATTGCTGTGTGCAAGCATTAAACCATGCGCACTGTTTAAAATATATGGCACCACTATACATCATTTGGAAATAGCCAATGCTTTGGGGCCATACTTCAGGTTATCTGTGCTGTCAAGATTCATACTCCCTTCCCTATTTTGAGTGTATCCTGTACCTTTTCAGAAAATATTCTTGGCCAGAAGAGCAGCCGATTCCAACCAGTATGGCATCATCTCTGACTCTCACCTTGCTTGACCTGGCCACACACCACTAAATGCCTATTTGCTGAAGCAAGTGTCTGCACAGTTTTCATACCTCATGCCAAAATGTCTAACTGTTTCAGCTTATGTTTTGGACCCCAACTATAATGCAATTTGTTCCCAAAATACTTAACTCGGTCAGAATGAATGCCTCATTAAAAGATTTTAAGCAGCACCTTAAATTTCCAAAAAGAAATGGTGCCAGCCACCAAGCAGAGCGGTGGAGGGTTCAACACACAAGTTTTCAGGAAGCTTTTAAATGACGGGGTGGGTGGGGAGCAGAGGGATTTAGGGAGAATGCCCTAAAGGACTGGGAATGGTGGCTTAAAATTCAGTCACTGATAATGGGATGGATGGGGTTTGCTGGAAGTGACAATGGCAGAAGTATAGCCTTAATTTTTGGCAGGACACTATATTACTGGCCAGTTTTTAACTTTAACAAGTTATGAATATAAGAATAACCTGTACAATAAAACAGATTATTCTCATGTGCATGAACACATAGGGTGTTTAGCCATGGAGCGTGTTGCACACTAATGTTCTTAATTAACACTCTCAATGCAATTTCATTTAGCTGCAAAAACAATTTCCTTAGACAATATAAATGTCTACCTCTCTAGGGAGGACTTGGTTGGTAAGATGATATAAACATCAGGATTACTACAATTTGCTCAAACTAAAATAGTGCTTCATTAAAACTGGTTGGTCAGTCTGGAGTTTGGATACACATGGAAACTCCCTGCCAGGCTTATCTTATGGTTACAGCAACCGAGAACTCTCTGAACCATGGTTATAGGTCTGCCAACTCTGCTGTGCACAAAGTTTCACAAGGAGAAAGGAGAAAAAGGGACGCTTATTCCATGAGCGAGGAAGATCCATCAACTCATGTATGAGATACTATCAAAATACCATGAATGGTCATTTAACTGCTGGGGTCAACATTTGTAAAATACTGATGACTTATTCCATTTTTTTTGCATCGAAAGAAATAAAAAAACAAAAAGAGATACGCCTAGGTTCATTTAAAAAGGAAAGACCTCTTTAGTAATGAAACAAGTACATATACCCTTTCTCTCTTCCTCCCTGCCTGTACATGACAATCTTCCAAGCAGGGTCTCCTTGGAGCTGCACTGGGCACTGCTGATTAGAGCACAGCCCAGCCTGGCTCATCAGCAAGACCTGGAAGGGCAGAACAGTCACTGGGGGCAGGGAGTCATCCCACTCAGCTCCTGTTAACCCTGCAAGCCAAAGCCCTAACGGATATGTGGTCCTAGCTGGACAAGCACTGGGAAAGCTTGCCGGACAGCAATAACAAGCTATGCAGTTTTAGCTGGTTAGACTCCAACAGCACCTCAACGCACACTCTGAAGTCCCCAAGCCTTGGCTCTTGCCAACCTGCGCCTAATACCTTCTGGAATTAGGTAAGCAGGATGCATTCCCCCAGGGAGAATGTGTATTCCATTCTAGCAATTGATATCTCTGCAATTTCCATGTGTAGGTGAGATGCATGGTTGATTGGATACTCTTAAGCATGGTGATGGGTTCTTAAGCATGGTGATGCGTTTTCGCATGTATCAAGACAGCCAGCTGATCAAAAAAAATTCAACAGACTCAATAGTCTTCATTTGACCCATGTTTTTTTCTCCTCCATTCTAGTTCACTCTGACAGTAATCTCAAAATCCCTCAGATTCACACAGAATACTCAGGCTCAAACTGCAGTTCAACTCAGCATTAACATCATTAAAATAATCTGTTATTCATGGGAGATTAGAATTAAGACAACAGGAACAAAGGAACATAGCAATCTGTGACAATGGCAGAATTCATGATTCACTACAAATCATGATTCACTACAAAAATATCTCTTGGACTATACAAACATACAGAAAGAAGTATGTGTTCCCAGACAAACAACTGCAGCATAGGAATAAAAACAAGAGACAATTCGGGAAGAAAAGATTTGTTGACGGGAGACTCTCTGAGCCACAGACATCTGGACCCTCCCCAAAGTGGCCATTCTTCATGCCCAATTTATCAAGTGACATCCCCAGACATTAGGATTCGGCAGGCTTTCCACTGAGAAAATAATTACTGCAGAGTTCAATGTTGCCCTCACCCAGCATTCACTTCCATGTTTTTGTTGCAGAGGTTACTAAATAATATTCAGAGAAGAAACCTTATTGATAATTCCATTCCATACCTCTGTGCAACATCCCAACTGCTACTGAGGCATAGATCAATTAACTCAAACCTTTTGGTAGCAATGGTTTAGAGGTGCAGGAGGTTGTACCTTTACTCACTAGGCAACTGGGCCAGCTCATGCTTCGATTATAAAAATACTGGAGTACAGTCGTCCTTTAGTAGTAACTCTCTGTTCACTTGCAGGTTGTGATCAGTGACATTTTAACAATCTAATGGCAAGCTGCTGGACATTTCATGTTATTCACTTGAAAAGGCAGCGTTTTGGATCAAAGAGCCTGCATGCCACTTTTGATTAAGCACAGCATCCAATACACTAAAGGTTGAACTCTGATTCCAAGGAGAACATCTATATTAGGGAGTCAATCAGCTGGATCTCAATTCTTGCACAGTATGCAGTCAAATGGTTCATGTGTAGATGAAATGAATGAGCATGTCTCCAGGTGGGTGGTTGGATCACACTTCACTACTCTTTGACCATTTCTTTAGAAAGGTTAAAGTTTGCTGCAACACTAAAAAGAATTCAATGGATAAAGTACGCCACAAAGCATCTCATTACTTGGTGATCATATTGAATATCAAACAATTCCACGTTAGTGCTTCTAATACAGGTTTTTTTTAAATATAAAAAGCATACCAAAGGACTTTCACATCTATCCAAATCCTTTTACCTAAAGTACTATAAGACCAGTTCAATTCAGCAGAATAAGAACCATTAAAGGCTTTAAGAAACACAAGCCAGCATGAAATGAATGACCAATTTTATTTGGGAGATTGTTTGCCTGGTCACCGAAAGAAACATCAAATAGTGCCATGAAATCTATCGTCCACCTGAACAAGCAGACATCGCTAGGTTTAACATCTCATCCGATTGATGGTACCTCCAACAGTACAGCACACCCCAGCACTGCGTTGGATTGTCAGTTTGGACTACCTGAGTTCCAATTCCTAAAGTGGGGCTTGAACCCACAACTTCCGATTCAGAAAGTGCTACCGATAGCCAGGCTGACACTATGAAGATTATGTAATTTATTGAAGAAAATCCCATCGATTTCACTTGTGTACCGTACCTGTGCTCCATAATTTGGTCTCTAGGAACTTCTTTCCAGTACTGGGACAGATCTGGAGGGCCAGCTCCAGCTAACTGGTCTATTTCAGCTGCCATCACAAGAAATCTGTCTTGAGGGGAGGCTTCAAAACCTAGTAATTATACACAAAAAAATTCAAAGGTATTATTCTGATGATGAGATTCACTTATATTAAACTACTTTTTCAAAGACACAACACCATTAAACTCGAAAGGGAGAAAGCTGAGTGGACCAATTAGTTTTCAAACCCAACCCTCTGGACTCAAGGTTGATGCTCAGCAAACTACTTATCCAGGAAGTTAAAATATACTGTGTTACTCCTGGAATGGAGAGGGAAAAGAAACTGGGATTTGGGAGCCTCTCTAAGAATGAGCTGTCTCAGAGGAGACAATACTAATTCCACAGTAATTCAAAACATTGTCGATGGTTGATCAGCCTATCTGGCTCATCAATGAGTCTTGGAGATGCCATCACCTGTGCCCTAAATAATATGATAACTCCAGCTGGGCAGTGCTTTTCTACATTTAAAAAAAAATCCATTTATTGTCAGAATCTCCATTTGAAAGATTGCTCTTTAGTGTTAACCTGCCTCAATAATAAAGTCATACACTCAAGTCTTGTAGGTAATGGGGAATATACCAGTTCAGAAAACGTATGATGCCATTTTGATAACTGGACTGTGAGAACACGTAGAGACTGGTATTTAACATTAAACCATTGGTTAAAGTAAGCAACAGCTTTGAAGCACCACATGAACTGTGCCAATTCAATTTCTTCGCATTTTTAAAAAAATAACAAGCCATGGCTTGGTATATCCTGTCTTAAATATCCTGAGCAACTTTCAAGAGAATGCACAAATCTGCTGAAGGCACTTTGGATTATTTTCAACAGAATGTAACATGTAGTATTAGATGAAGTGTCCCAGCTAAAATAGCAATGGATTGTTAAAATTTAATCAATATGCCAAGCCAACCTCATGAACAGGAAAGAGACTTAGAATCAATTGTTCTTATGTAATTATAAAGAGCTGCAAAAATCCTGAGCACGGTATAAATCCCAGCACCCAAAGTGGGAAAATCAAACTAGTTTGAGAATCATGGAATCTATATTCATTGGGGTCAGGCTAAAATTATTTTGGACAATAGCTTTAAAATATCTATGTTGTGGTTTCTAGGGCCCAAAATTGAATGAGTTGATGAGGAATTATTGCTGTAATTCCTGTGGCACTGCCAAAATAATTCATAAAATGGAAAACTGTAAAATGCACACAATATTTTAAGTTATAAATTTGTGTGCTGCAATTCCAAGAGCGAGGAATGGTAACATTGAAAACTTTGTCACTGTCTCCAGGTTTTCGCTAAAGTAGGCCACGTGTATTACAAGCACAGGAGACTTTGGTTTGATATTAATATTTATTTTAAGTTAAAAATAGTAATAATGGAGTCTTCATATATTATTCTACCTTTAAGTTTTGTTGCATTTCATTAACATACAATAAGCAGTGGGTCTGAAGCTTTCTAGTTATAAATAACTCAGCATGCAAAAACTAAGTGGAACTACTCCTAAAGGTCCAGCTGCAAATGCCACACTCATTTTTTGTCTTCTGCAAGTCAAACTGCTGATTATCAAATGAGAGCAATTAGCTGAATGATTCTAAGGTTTGCTCTTTTTGTCACACACGCACGCACGTCACTGGCTATTTAAACCATCCCTGATAAATGACTTCTACACAGGCATAAATCGCAAACAATGAGAGCTTAAATATGGAATTTGAACAACAGTGGTGGGGTGGGAGGAGCTGGCCTTTGCTTGCAAAGCATTTTGTAGGCACAGGCAGCAGCCAATTTGCACACAGCAATGTCCCGCAAGCAGCCATTAAGTGAATATGACCAATTTTAACTGTGATTGTTTGCCAGGTCACTAGAAGAAATTCCATTCTCCTTTTGTACAGTGCCATGAGTCGTTTATTGCCCACCTGAACAGCCAGACAGGGCCTCGGTTGATCTGAGGGCAGCAACTCCAACAATTATAAAAAGGAGGATCAAGGACAGAGCCCTAAGGAACACTGCAAGTAACTGTGTTCCTCTCTTGCAAAAAAGACCCTGACTGCCCAGCGCCCTGGGATGTCTTTCCGACGTGAAGACTATACAAGTGTACTTTGTTGTTGTTGTGGGGGTGGGAGAAGAGAAACATCAAGAGAACAATGTGCTCTCACATTATATTGCACAATTTAAACCATTTTAATCACATAGCATCTTTCATTCAATATTTTGTCCACAATGACTTTTTAAAACCATAATCTTATTGCAAAATAATAAAATATTTGGTGAACTCCATACATCTCTATTAAATTGATGTTGATTCTGGCTTGTCAAATGGCTCAGAGCTATTCATACATTTTCCATAATGAACAATTTATGAACTATGAACGACCATAAATAGAATTTGAAGCAATGGAGAATAAGCGTTCCAACATGCTATTTCTGTTGAATTTTTTTAAAAAAAGTATTAAGTCTCCTTCACTGATTTCTGGTCTGATCAGTTGTGCCAGGATACAGAAGCATGTCTTGCACTTGCTTTGAAGGTTGGTAATGAATCAGAAATGCATAAGCAAGTGCAAGTATGTGGGCTTGAAGCAGAGAATAAGCAGATTGATTTTAAACAGTAATCAGGAACCAAAAATGAGTAGTAATTAAAAAAACATCGGATACCTCAACTGACCATTTTTTTGACCAGTTACTTTAACTTTAAATCTTTGAGAGAGCCGTTGCCTCCCAGCTTCGCTCTTTCCTCTCCTCTCACTCCCTCCATGATCCCCTCCAATTGGGTTTCCGTGCTGCCCACAGCACGGAAACTGCTCTGGTCAAGGTCACAAACGACATCCTGACCATGTGTGACCAGGGCTTCCTCTGCCTCCTCTACCGCTCCGCCACCTTTGACACCGTGAACCACTCAATCCTCCTCCATCGCCTCTCCCCCCATGACTGGTTCAGGTCCTACCTTTCACACCGCCTCCACTTCGTCACGGCAAACGGCTTCTCCTCCAGTGCTCGCACCGTCTCATGCGGTGTTCCTCAAGGGTCTGTCCTCGGTCCCCTACTCTTCACCCTCTACATGCTCCCCCTTGGTGACGTCATCCGCAGACATGGGCTAAATTTCCACATGTATGTGGATGACACCCAACTCTACCTCCCTGAACTCCAGGACTACTGGCGTCCTGACCGACTGCCTGTCCGACATCAAGTCCTGGACGAGGGACAACTTTCTCCAACTCAACATCAGCAAGACCGATGCTCTCCTGATTGGCTCGCGCCAACATCTCCGCACCTCAGGCACTGGCAACATCAGCCTCCACGGCTGCACACTCAACCTCACTAAGCCAGTCGGGAACCTGGGTATCTTGTTTGACCCTGAACTGTCCTTTCTCCCCCACATCCGCGCCATGACCGGCACTGCCTACCACCACCTCCGCAACATTGCCAGACTGTGCCCCTGCCTCATCCCTTATACTGCCAAAACCCTCACCCACGCATTCGTCACATCAAGGCTCGATTATGGGAACTCCCTCCTCATCGGCCTTCCCAACTCTTCCCTTCACAAGCTGCAGATCATCCAAAACTCTGCAGCTCGTGCACTCTTACGCACCAGGCTCCGTGACCCCATCACTCCCACCCTCGCCCGAATCCACTGGCTCCCCATCCCCCAGAGGATCGAGTTCAAGATCCTTGTCCTCACCTTTAAGGCCACCCATGGCCTTGCCCCCTCCTACCTCTCTGACCTGCTGACTCCCTACCAACCTGCCCGCTCCCTCCGTTCATCAGGCTCCGGCCTGCTCCATGTCTCCCGCCCAACCATCGGTGGCCGGACTTTCAGCCTCTCTGCCCCCAAACTCTGGAACTCCATCTTCGCCTCGCTTCCTCCCTTGCCTCCTTCAAGGCCGGTCTCAAGACCCTTCTCTTCGACCGTGCCTTTGGTCTCCGTCCCACCTCTCTGCCTTCCCTTACCCCTACACCACCCCTCCCCCATGCTCAGGCCCCGACACCTGACTGTTCAGTGCTTTGGGACATCCTCCCAACATGATAAGCGCTCTATAAATGTAATTTTGTTGTTGTTGTTGAATCTAAATGTTAACTAAATAATAGTGGAGCTAAAATCAAATAAATAATGAAATATTCATAACTATATGCAGTCTGCAGCTATGGATATTGTTGGGAGCTGGAGATCTACAAGTACAAAACAGCCAAGGTAAATAGGAACCGTATTCATGGTGTTTCTATAAAACTGTATCAGATGAGTACATTGGAGCTTGACATTCAGATTACAGTATTTTATAACAGCATGTAAAATAGTATGCGACTCAGTTGACAAGGCACTGCCTCCAAGTCAGATGGTTGTGGATTCAAGACCCACATTTGGACTTGGAAGCCCAGTTTCTGCTCCCCTGTGCTGGGGGGAGGGTCTGCTTAGTTGGAGGTGCTGTATTTCAGATTAGTCATTAGAATAGGTCCTGCCTGTTCGGATGGACATTGAAGATCCCATGACACTATTCAAAAGGAGAACACTTTCTTCTAATGCGGTGGGCAACAGTCCCTAAAATAATAGGTGTCATAAATTTTATGGCTGTTTGTGGGACATCCATGTGCTGCTGGATTCTCACAATAATCAGTCACTCTACTGTATACTCTGTGAAGTGCTTTGAAACTGTCTAAAGCAAGGATTATTATTATAAAACGTTTGATCTATTTTGATTCAAAATAGTATTTCGGTACATGCTTGCCACAAATATTCAGTTTTTTAGTAACGTTCAAAACAACTACAAATTATAAATTGATTAACCATGGTTTTCAGTGTCAATACTGTAATCTGATATAGCTATACTTCAGCAAGTTATTTTCAGGTTTCATATGTGCGGGGCAGGTAACTCGACTTGAGGTGCAGATCAGCTATGATCTTATACAATGGGGGAACAGGCTCGAGGGGCTGAATAACTTACTCCTGTTCCACTGCTCCCTATCTCCGAACGGATTGACTTCAATATTCAATCAAATCCCTTCACTCCCTGGCACCTCCCTACCTCCTTACTCCCCTATCCACCACCCAGCGCCTCCGCTCGAGTGACACCAGCCTCCTGCTTGTCCCTTGCTCCCTCCACTCCAACACTGGAGGTCACGCATTTACCACGCTCACAAAACTGTGGAATACTCTCCCTAAATCCCTCTGCCTTGCCCCCTTTCTCAACTTTTTGAAGTCCCACCTGAAAACCTTCCTTTTCAACCGTGCTTACGGTCACTTCCCCACCCCGGCTCAGAGTCAGGCTCTGCCACTGTTAAGTGCTCTGAGATGCTACCCTGTGTGGAGGATGCTATATAAGTGCAAATTGTTGTTGTATGAATAACTTATTGTGGGGAGTAAAGAGTTCCAGAAATATTGGTAGGGGTCCGAAAAGTGAATATTCAGTTAGTCAAATGTTGAGCCTCTAAATTCCACACTACCTCCAAAGTTTATAAAAGATCAAATGGAGAGTGGTGCAAGCAAGGAGATGACGAACTCACCTAAAATGCATTCATCCATGAAACTGAAACAGATGCTCTGGTATGATACAGAACAAAGGGAATACCCAGCTGCACATTTACATTGATGTTAACAGGATCACTAACATTACAAGCAGTGATTGATCCTACTGAGGATTTGCGAAAATTAGGAAATATCCTGTGGCGACCAAGGAAAAAGAAAGGCCGCATGTTCTGTTTACAAACCAGATTCTATTGGTGCCAATAATGTAGAACACAGACCCTACAAGGGCATCCCAAAGCCTGAGTTCAAGGTACAGCATCACCAAGTATGTTACTTTGCTCGCAGGCTGCTTAGCAATGCACTTCAATTGCAGGATCACAGCAGTTTCCTACACAGGCATATTAATAACAAACAATCCTTGTGATATAGCACCTTATCACCTCATTGAGACATTCAAAACACTTCACTGGATTTACTGTAAAATGATTTTGATTCTCTTAAGAACTTTGATATGTTTCCACATATGCCAGACACTCGGCTGACTAAAGGCAGATCTCTTGAGCTTTTACTATTTAATTCCATCTTATAGTTAGTCTGTATATAGATGAAATGCTTGAGTGAGTTTCTTTGTGATCTGCCAGAGATATGTGTGTCTCACAGTTACTGTCTTTACAATTCAGCGCTCAGTTTGATAGAGAACATGAAATGCAAAACAAACTGTTGATAACTGAATACAAAACTAATTAGTACGGAGGCTTTAGCTTGCTGAATATTTTGATCTATTACTAAATTGTGTGGCAAGATTGTAAACAATCCTGCTATTTAGGTTTCCAAGATTATGCAGTACAACATCAAACTTCATTCAATAAAGTGCCATGTGATAGAGAATGGGTGCCAGTTAGTTGCACGCCAGTAATTCAATCAATTGCTCTGACAACACTTTAAACAGCTTAAGCAGTTGATAAATGTCAGTAGAAACTGATTCACTGCAATATGAACACTGTACTGAAAGCTCTTTATTTTATTAATGGTTTGTTTGGCCATGTTCAGTGGAGAACAGGCACAATGCCATGGGATAGAGAAGATATAATGAATGGCATCATGTAATTATGACAGCATAACTAGATTTTAATGCCTTATTTCTAGTGAATAGCCAAAGGCAATGAACACTATTTTCTTGGAAATTCAATGTAAAGCTGCAGTTTAAAATCAGGTTTCAGAGGGATTATATTGTGAGCTCTTCTCCCAAAAATCACTTCAACAAACATACCATGTAATACAGCAAAGAACTAAAAGTACAATACCTAACTTTGTGTCAACACTTCATGCAGATTTTAATATAAATACAACTGTTCATTTATTTAATGACATCTTAAAAGATAAATGTACTCCAATTCACCACACTCCTAAGAGATCTCGGTCTACCTAATGCTTCCCAATTCTCTAGTTTCTGTTTTGTTTTGAAAGGACTAAACAGCAGTAGTAGGAGCAGCAGAGAGATAATATTGAAGTTCTTTTAGTGACAGCACAAATTGGGAGTCCCAGTCACATCACAAAGATGATTCTATGCAAAGTATCTGTTCTCAAACTACCACTTACCAGTATTCAAAAGGAAAACAAGGGAAATGCTGAGCACTAATAAGTGTGCATGGATCTTTAAAATTTTATAATATGAATACTCTTCAAGGAAATAAAGTTTCTCAGGTTTGGTCTAGGTAAAGTATCATCATTCATGAGTTTTGAAAGCTCTTTTATAAGCCTTGAAAATAATATCCACAACTGTAGTTGGCAGGAACTCATGTAAATCTTGTACATTTAAAATGAAATATAAAAAGTTTGTCTTCAATGGTAGAACAAAATTATCTGTCCTTGCCTCATATCCCTTAATACTCTAACCTAAAAAAAATTATCTAAAAACTAGGAATATAAAAATGTTTTATATTATGACTTCTATTAGATACATTTCAGACTAATCAAGATGAATGACAAAACATAGTAAACCCCTTCATAAATTAGAGTACCTACAGATAATCGAGGAAATGGTTAACATACCTCCATGGAGTGACACTAGGATATCTATTGTAGTGCCTGGCTCAAAGCTACTGTTACTGGGTTTCACTCTGTACTTTTCTGGAGCAGTTGTCCTGACCTGTTTAAATAGAATTATAAGGGTTAGTATATTATTTTCGAATTTGAAAATAATGCAGCAATCAGTGCCTTTCAGAGAACAGAAATTATTCTTCAAAGTGATTAATTTAAGAAATGTTAAATAGCATTGCTCAGTGTGAACATCATCTTCTAGATATTACACCCGGTTTCCTATTTTCTGACCATATTTTGGTTTTTTAAAAATACATTTTGTAGCATTAAAATATTCTTACAATTTTGGGCCTGATAGGGGAATAACATGGCAATCATAACAGGTTAACGGTTAATGCTTTACTTCATCAGATTAATTTATATTGCACAAACCAATGTCTTGAAAAGAGAGTTCCCAGAACCAACTTTAGAGCCGTAAAATGTTAAGTGAGATTCAGAAAGAAAACTCAGAACAATCTTTTTCTGATGCACAGATGCATCTAATGAGAGAATAGTAGGTTGGATATCCTGGAGGAGTGAGATCAAAGGGGCCAATGGAACTTCTTTATCTGAACCTCTCTTTTTGTGTGCACGTGCAAGAGAGAAGTAGAGACAGAAAAAGAGAAGAAACTGAAGAACTTACCTTAAAAGCAACAGGATTCTTAGTAACATTGGTCAGGACAATTGAACATTTTCGATCCCCACTATCTTTAGAGCCAAATTGAAGATCTTCAGCAGGACTGTTATGGGGAGAGAAGGGGGAAGAAAGAGGAGAAAGTCCCCAAATCATAATTAGTTAACATATCTTTTTAAAGTTATCAAATTAACAACCAACATAAAACTATAGATAAGGAGGGGAGAAAAAGTATTTATCACATACAGGGCTTTTGAAATCAGATATCAAATTGGGTTTCTTCCCAGATTTTATTTTCCATTCCATCTGCTTGTCACAGAATTCTTTAAATACTTCCAAATACTATGTGGATGTACTTATACACACTCTAAATGGACAATGCAATGATGGGGATGTGTTGCATTGTCAGAGGTGCTATCCTTCAGATGAGATGTTAAACCGAGGTCCCGTCTGCCTCTTCAGGTGGACATTAAAAATTCCATGGCCTTTTTTGAGAAATTCGGAGTTTCTCTTGGTGTCCTGGCCATTCACTCCATGGTTGTTTGTGGAACATTAATGTGGGTGAATTGGCTGCCACGTTTTGCCCACAAAATATAGTCAATCCACTTTACATTACTTTCTATGAAATGCTTCAAGACGTCTCAACAAAGTAATAAGGCACTATACCACATACAAGGATTATTATCAGATTATAAAACCTCAGTTTCATGGGAACAATACAAAGATGTTCCTGGCCAAATACCTTATATGCAACAATGATCCTTTAAATAAGGGTAGTGTCTTCTTTGCAGATTTTATTTTGCTTTCGACCCGCTCATCATCTTGCTTGACAACTTCTTCAGTAAAAGTCACCTTTGCATAAACAAAAGTGAATCACGTCTTAAAAATATGTACAATCTTACAATATTGCAAACATCTAAATGAAGAGCCTTATTCAAATAAATGGGCATGATTAGTTAAATAGTTTCAGAGACAGGCCAATCTATCTCTTGAAAAGAACACTCATCTGTAGTCTCAAGCGTACCTCATTTGTAATTGGAAATTCACAAATTCAGTAAAACCCAAGGCATTTTAAAACAAGTCTAGTGAATGGGCAAAGAAAGTGACAGAAGTATAACATTAACCTATGACCATTTTGTGCTGGTGCATAAAGTTAACAGAAATAAACTACCGATAGTGAAGCAACATTGTAAACTTGATTGTTCATATTGGAGATCTAAAATGAAATATTTGTAACAGGAGTTGCAATGAATGATTCCTGCCTGTAACTCTCCAGTGAGAAATCTACTCTGATGCAATCTACTTTTGGAAGCAGTTCCATGAGGCATCAATTCCAGTTACTCGTAGGCATCAATATAATAATAATAATAATAATAATCCTTGCATTTGATATAGCGCTTTTCACGTCGGGAGGACGTCCCAAAGCGCTTCACAGAACACACTGTAAAGTGAATTGACTGTATGTTTGTGGGCGAACGCGGCAGCCAATTGCGCACAGCAATGTCCCACAAACAGTCGTAGATTGAAAATGACCAATTTATTATTGTTTTGGTTTTTGGAGGGATTATTATTAGGCTCTGTGTGGAGTAAGGAAACTTGCCCAAGGTTTCGCCCTCTGCCTGGAATTGAACTCAGGTCTCTCGCTTGCAAAGCGAGTGCTCTAACCACTGAGCTACAGGGCTCCAATATATGTTATCAGGAGTTGCTACCAGCACATTTAACCTTATAAGAAAAGATCAGATAACCCATAAATGCAAGCAAATAAAATTGTAAAATAAGTGGAAACATTGCAGCTGCAGCATATTAGTACTCAATATGCCTAGAGAAAGGGATAGGGTGCGGGCTAGCCCAATGTTCCCCATATGCTAAAATCCTAAAGATTGAGAGTTTAAGACTATAACTTACCCACCCCAAACTCACCCCAAAGATAAAAAAGGAACAGTCCAAACTTGCCAAACACTGCTCAGATGGCACTGGTCTCATGTCAGGCTGCAATCAGGGTTTGTAGAAATCAGAAATGTGATCTATGCCCATGAGCAGTTCTGGTGGGTTGTGGCGAGTCTAATGTATGTACATGCAAGATTTGATACTTGCAAATCCAATTACAAATCCCTTGAGCTTAACTGACACTTTTGTTTATTATGCCTACTTTGCAGAGATCATGTGTAAAAGCCACACACAACCATTCCTAATCACAAACAGAAGATTAACTGTTCAGGATCATCTTCCAATTCATACAGCTCAAACAGTTACGCATGTTCAAGGTTGCTTCTATAGAATCAATTTGTGGTTTTGGACAGGATGGACAATTTAAAGAAACAAGGCATTCAGTGAAAGCACACAAGAGATTCATTCATACTCTAATTTGAGGCAAAACCCAGCAGTCACTGAAGAGATAAACAAAATTCGGAGGAAAATACTGTTGTATGACCTGATTGAGATTAGCTGTTCTTTGCTAGGTTATACAAAATTTCCTGTACATTTGAAAAAGGGAGAGAATTCATCAAATGATTCAGTTTCTTAGAAAAATGCCGTAATTAACAAAAATTTTAAATAAATTGTAAGGAATGGAAATCAGAAGCTATAGGAATACATCTCGTCATTGAATCCACATTACCTTGAAGAAAAGTACCATCTTACCTTTTTGGGCTTCTGCAAGCGTTCGTCATTATGGTTGGTGTCTGAGGTTTCTTTGCTGTTCCCATCTCCACTTTCTTTTTCATCTATTTCATCTTCACTTGCAATAGGGCCATTTTCAGATATAGGCGTTTGAAAGTCATCATCCGGCAATGGCGGGTAGCTATATTTAAAAGGATCCTTAAAAAGAAGAAAATAGCCACATTAAAAATAAGTACATCCAGGTTTAGAGAAAACTCGCAAAACAGATTAAGCTTAGTTATTTCCAGCATCTAATTCCTTTCCTGATTCGTACTATTTCTTTGGTTACTTAACTCACAATTGGAACAAATCCCTCTTCATTATCTTCATCAGTACACACATTGGTAGTTTCAGTTATAACACCCCAAAACAGGCTGTTTAGCTAAAGATTAATAGATGCAAATGTTTAACTTTAAAAGTTAAAGATTAACATACAGTGGGCATGCATAAAGTATGGCTGGCCCGCATCCCAACCTCAAGAGCCCAGAATCTTGATGTAAAGAATTTGCAATAAAAATAGTAAAATGGTTGCAGTAACGTTATGGCAAAATAATTGCATGTGTGTCAGTAATAATCATTGAGGTTATAGTCAGTAAGCCTCCAAACACATCATAATGCAAAAGGCAAACTTACCTGACTGAGCATTTTAATGCTCTATGGGGTAGAAATTTCCCAACGGCTAGATTTACTCTATTTGTGTAGCATTTCAAATTGTGCGTAATTTGGAAAAATGTTATTCTCAATATTGTCATCAGTTATCTCTAAGTTCTTTTAAAAGTTAGGCCTGACTTCAGCTATATCAAATTTTGGACTTTCTGGAATGCTAAGAATAGAGTAAATCTTATTCCAGGTGGAATTTATTTTTATTTCATTTTTCTCCCTATATAATTGCAATAGTTTTACAACTAAAATTTGTACTTGGAACTTGTGGTTTAACAGACAAATCAGTCACTCTACTTTACAGTATATCTGTAAAGTGCTTTGATACGTTCTCCTGACACAAGAGGTGCTATATCAAATGCAGGATTATTGTATTTATTGTAATAGATTGGCAACTGCTGAACAGAATTTATGGAGATAGATCTTGTTAAAGTGATGAAAACCGTATGATGATGCATTGGGTGTCACACAGAACAAAACTGCATTCCTACCATCCATTTAAAAAAGGTCCCTGATATAGTCACTGATACAGTCATTATATCGTTTCTTTATACTGCTGGGAACCATGCAATCCAGGATATATTTTTTATGTACAACTGGACCACATAAAATATAATACCTCCATTTATCATCTCCTAAATTACAATAAAAAGCAGGCAATGTCCCTGCAGTTATAAGTTATTTTATTATTATTATTATATTTGCTGGTTTCTAGATTGGAGATGAAAAAAATTGTAAATCCTTCAAAAGATTCTGGATGAATTGATTATACGACCTGCATTATTTGTTTAGAACCTTACACATTTTTGTTTGTGGTCATCAAGATTGAGAAATTCAGACAGTCGGTAATGGAAAATACACACTCCCATTTTCTCACCCAGTTTAGGCATCACACACTCACAGGTCAAGTATCAGTGTGGCTTCCTACAGTCAGCCTATCCAGAAAATGTTCTTTAAATTCAATCTCAGATGAGTCAAGCATTGAGGCTACAGTCTAGTGTTTCATTGAGAGAGAAGTGTGATATATACTACCTTTTGACAGCAATTCAATGCAAAATTGCAGTTTAAATCTGAATTGAGGTAGCACAATTTAGAAGCAATTTGTGCAGAGATCTTGGTGCAGAGACCACCTTGTGGTGGTGGTTTCTGCAACACTTTGTCCTGTATTGTTACAGTATAGATGTACCACCCTGCAGAACTGCACTGAAAAGGGATAATATCTAGAAATTTATATAGTGACTACTGCAGACAAACAAAACTATAAAGTGCAACAATTATGGTCATGTAAATTTCTAAGAGTTAATGGGAAACTAGTCACTGTGGGTTTATAGCACAACCAATGAAAGCAACATTCACCAGAGAACAACAACAAATTACATTTGTATAGCTCCTTTCACGCCGGGAGGAGAATATAATAATCCTTGCATTTGATATAGTGCTTTTCACGTCTTCTAGCCGTCTCAAAGCACTTCACAGAATATGCTGTAAAGTGAATTGACTGTATATTTGTGGGCGAAACGCGGCAGCCAATTGCGCACAGCAATGTCCCAGAAACAGTCGTGGATTGAAAATGACCAATTTATTATTGTTTGTTTTGGAGGTATTATTATTAGGCGTGTGGAGTAAGGAAACTTGCCCAAGGTTTCGCCCTGCCTGGAATTGAACCCGGGTCTCTCACTTGTGAGGCGAGTGCTCTAACCACTGAGCTACAGGATTATCAAACAAAAGCATGCCATATTCTTGCACAGACCTCTATGACCTGCTAATGTCATATCAACCTGTCAGCTCTGGCCTGCTCCATGTCCCCTGCCCAGCCTGTTCCACTATCAGTGGTTGGGGTTTCTGGCTCTCTGCTCCCACCCTCTGAAACTCCATCCCACAGTCCCTTCACGTTGCTAGTTCCCTTGCTTGCTTGAAGGCATGTCTCAAGACCCTCCTCTTCAACTGTGCCTTCAGCCATTTGATTGAATTCCCTGCTTGTCGGCCTTCCCAACTCCTCCCTCCACAGGCTGCAGATAATCCAGAACTCTGCAGCCCATGTCCTCTCCTGCACCAAACTCCGTGACCCCCATCTCTCCTACTCTCGCCCGACTCCACTGGCTCCCTATCCTTCAGAGGATCCAGTTCAAGATCCTGGTCCTCACATACAAAGCCCTCCATGGCCTCCCCCCACCCTACCTCTGCAATCTCCTAACCCCTACCAACCCGCCCGCTCCCTCCGCTCAGCCGGCTCTGGCCTGCTCCACGTCCCCCGACCCACCCGCCCCACCATTCCCGGGAGAGCCTTCAGCCACTCTGCCCCCAATCTCTGGAATTCCAGCCCCCAGTCACTCCGCCTCGCCTCATCCTTAACCTCCTTCAAGTCCCGCCTCAAGACTCTCCTCTTTGGCCATGCTATTGGCCACCCCCCTTCCCTTTCCTTACCCCCCAACCCCAGCTCGGGTCTGAAATGCTATACTCTGTCCAGCGCCTTGGGACATTCTCCCGATGTGAAAGGCGCTATACAAATGTAATCTTGTTGTTGTTGATAATATTCCCTCAAGAAAAGAAAACAAGAATAAATTGGTCACTTCAAACCACGAATGTTTGTGGAACACTGCTGTGCGCAATTGGCTGCTGCATTTCGCCCACAAATATAGTCAATTCACTTTACAGTATATTCTGTGAAGCACTTTAAGACGTTTAGAAGTCGTGATAAGTGCTTTATCAAATGCAAGAATTTTTTTTATTATTTAGAGGTAGGAAGGAGTAAGGTAGTATAGGGCTTTGAAGGCGAAGACAAGGATTTTGAGCTCTATCCTTTGGATGATGTGGATAAGCAAATGACTGGCAACCAGAACTGAAAACTCATCTGTAAGAATCCATTCTAACTCTTGCAATGCAAGAAAAAAAATAAAGACTTTAATAGTTTTGTCCATTGACGTCAGCCGTATGGAAGTCCGAAGCTAGATAATGTGATCTTTTCAGAATTTAGCTCAAGACTTCACTTAAAAATAAGGAATCTATACAGAATATTTCAGCCAATAAAGTTTCCTAACAAATGACATGTCAAATTGACTGATAAATGAATACATCCCTTCTGCTTCAGGAGGTAGATAAATCAATAGTTAATGAACCCTATTTTAATTCTAGCAAACCTATATACTTCCTCCCCTTACTATTTATGCAACATTTACTCAATGTAGTCACTCAAAATGTAAGTGACAGCTTTTGACCCCAAGAGTAGCCAGAGTGAACTGAAATTTACATTAAAAACAGTTTCTGGAAAATCCCCAAATTAATTTCAGCGAGAAGTTTCAGAATAATGTGACATTGCTACACTTTTAACAAGTAGTGCTTATTCACTTCCTTTAGTGAATGTACACTCCACTTTCAAATCCCACCTAAGACCTTCCCTTCTGATCGTGCTTACGGTCACCTCCCCCTCCTTCTGGCTCAGGGTCAGACTTTGCTACTGTGAAGCCCTCCGGGACGCTACCCCACATGAAGAGCACTAAATAACAACAATAACATTTGTATAGCGCCTTTCATGTCTGGAGGACGTCCCAAGGCAACTTGTATATAAATGTAAGTTGTTGTTATATTTATACATTATAAGCTTAAAACATTTTCAGCATGCAGGTCTCAATTATTCCAACACCCTGCTCGCAAGACTCAACACCCAGCTCCTCTCTACACAGGCTGCAGACTATCTAGAACTCTGCAGCTCATGTTTTCGCCAGAACTGGGTTCCTTGAGCCTATCACCAGCAGATCAAATTTAAATTTCTTCATTGGATCGCCCCATCTTACCTCTGATCACTCAACAAACACTGCTTGAATCGTCCCATCATCAGTGGGCAAGCTTTCAGCCATTCTGCTTTCGCTCTCTAAAACTCCATCAGAGTCCCACTTCGTCGCCTCTGTCTCCTCACCTTTAAAGCCTGTCTTAAGACCAATCTTTCAAATGTTCACCTTCCCTTTCTCTCCCCCACCCCCAACACTGCATCAGCTCTCCAAAGGATGGCACCTCCAATACAGTTTACCTCAGATTGTCCTGAAGCATGAAGATAACATGCCCAACAATTTATTACAAAAAAACTTTTCAAGTTGTTCATTTTATCAGGGCAATTTGCAGGACTACAATTTGACTGCTTAGTCATCAGATCCACCTGTTCTGAGAAATATTCCCTTTAAAATGGTTGGATTGCATGATTTCCAATGTTTTCTAATATCAAAGGTTACCTAGTAATTCATCCAGCAGTACACAGAGAGAAGCTTAAGAAGTCCAACTGTGAACCAATTTTATTCCCAATATCACTTTAGCAATTTCATTTCTTTCTGCAGATGTTATTTAGGCATGTGAATAGAACTGTTGATTTCTATTCTCCACTCTAGTCCTACAAGCAACATTCAGGAGCAAAAGTAGTAATCAGCAGTTTGAGTACATTTAAAGCAAATTTCCCGAGGTTTAAGTCTGCTGTTGAAGGAGGCTTTCAAATAAAAATATGGGCGTCTCTAACTCTTCTTGGACACTGCACAATTTTAGTTACAGAATGTATAAAAGCTTCAGCATTCCCTCCTCGCGTCCTTGGTTTAGAAAGAATGTTGTAAGCTGGTGATGCTTCCAAAGACTGCTTAATTTGTATATAATATATATCTCTGTGATACTACTTTTTAGTTATCGTACTTTATCATGATGTCATAGACAGATCTCTTCCCCCTACCTTACCAACACCTACAGAGAAAATAACTTACAATTCCTCCCATGTGAGGCGGCAGGTACTCGATGCTGATGTACTCTTGCACATCATTTTTGTTGGCAAATCTCAACAGGCTCACTGCTTCTGGTCCCAACCATGATTTCACAATTTTCCACGCAGCTACAATGAAAAATAAATTTCCATTTAAGTACGATCATTCATTGCTGCCTCTTGAATAAGTCAAAAGTGGTAGTGAATGTTCTTACCAGTCATTATCCATGGCATTTCATAGATGATCATTTTTGCTACAAAAAGAAAGTAGAATTAATAACAATGGTCGATATTGAGTTAGCAGGTCACAGAGGTAGTGCAAGATTGTGGAGGGCTTTGAAGGCATGGATGAGGATTTTGAATTCGATCCTCTGGGGGATGGGGAGCCAGTGGAACCGGGCAAGGATGGGGGTGATAGGGTCACAGAGCCTGGTGTGGTTCTCGTGAAGGTTTATTGGATCTTTGCAAGCTTTTCTAAAAAATAGATTCCAGCAGGGAATTGCAAAGCACACATTGCAAAGATCTATTCTATACCCTTAAGTATTCTAATCAATCAGCTCAATACACACTAACTAATTAGTCCACTAAACCCTTAACAGCTTCTGATTTTTCAAAACCCGACTGCATAAAGCAGCTTCATTGGGAAACTTTTGCATCTCAATCATACTGAAATCTGCAATTCTCCACGGGTGGTAAAGACAGCTGAGTAATTAGGGACTGCACTGATAAAATGTGTCATGTGTAAAGACCTCACGCCTCTCTGCATGTATTGCATCAAAAGGTAAAATAACAGGTTTGCAACAGCATATGTACTATTCAAATATATTTTCTACCACCATCTGTAAATATATGGTAGTCATATTTCAAAATAAAAATTTCCATCTCATGAGTGCCATGCATCGGAAAGGAAGAAAGGCTTTAGTGTTGTAACTACACAGATAGTCTGCTTGTTTACAGGTAGATGTTAGAGATCCCATTACATTATCTGGAAGGATGGGAGTTACCTTGTGTCCTAGTCAACAGTGCTCCAGATGAATGTTCATTCATTTCATGAAAGTTTGTTGGATCTTTGCAAGCTTTTCTTAAAAATACAGTAAACCTTAAAGTCGTATCAATTAGGACCATACATTAATATGACGCATGCAAAGTATGAGTTGTGTCAAACTTGCATGAAATATAAACTCTTGAATGGGACTTGGGCAGATGTATGACTTAGGCGATTATACGATTTATACAGATCAGACTTGTGTAAGTTTTACTGAAGATTCCAGCGGGAAAAAAAAGTAATTGAATATAGTATGGTCGTGAATGTTGCAACAAATTCCATACTAGGGTACTAAATATCAGTTGATCGTTATCCAACAGTCTATTTTCTTAAATGCTTAAATAGACCAATAAATGCTAATCATAGTGCCCCAATTACCAGTGAGATCATTAAAGAGGTGATCAATACCGTACTTACAAAGGTACTTAGGATAATAGACCTTAAAACAACTGATGATGAAACGTACAAAGTCCATATCCTAGAATTAAAAAGAATAACTTCAATGTCAAAACTTTCAAATAATGCCTCTACATTAACAGTCCCATTTCCTGAACTACATTTTAAATTACAATAGATACCCCAAAATCCAGTGTTTGGGACCTAATAGTTCCACTGTAGATATGTGTGATAATAATACTTGCATTCGATAGAGCACCTTATCACGTCATTGAGACATCTCAAATATTTGATGTACATGAATTTCTCTCTCCACTCATCTCTAACTGTGCATTTGCGTATACGAGAGGGTTAGGTGGTGTCTCTCTATCCATACACAGCATTTACATAGATCAGATCTCCAACAGTTCACATTTGCTTGGATAAAATGTCATACTTTGTAACACTGGCCAGCTCTGACATCAGTGCACAACTATTTTGTTTCCCCCACATCCACTTCAATTCTGCATTGCTATGCAGATAATCTGCTAGTGATCACATGACTTTCCACTGTACCATGCAGAGATTCTGTCTTTCCTCATCAAAACCCATTAAATTTAAATTGTAAGGAATTTAGTATAATCTAATAAAAATAGTCATTTCAACATAGTCCTTTACAACATTCGACAGTCTTTGATCATTTCAAACAACAACAACAACAACAACAACAAGATTCCATTTATAAAGCGCCTTTCACGTCAGGAGGACGTCCCAAGGCGCTGCACAGTTGGGTCATGACCCGAGCAGGGGGGAAATGGTCAGGGGAGGGAGGGAGGAGCGAGGAGGGGGGAAATGGTCAGGGTGAGGGGGGAAGGGAGGGAGCGAGGAGGGGAAGAGAGTCGAGAGGGGAGCTGAAGGCTCGGTCAAAGAGAAAAGTTTTGAGACCGGCCTTGAAGGAGGAGAGGGAGGAAGCGGCGAAGGCACTGGGGGATGGAGTTCCAGAGCCTAGGGGCTGAGAGGCTGAAGGCCCGACCACCGATGGTAGGGCGGTTGGGGCGGGGGACGTGGAGCAGACCGGAGCCAGAGGAACGGAGGGTACGGGCAGGTAGGTAGGGGGATAGTAGGTTGGAGAGGTAGGAGGGAGCAAGGCCGTGAATGGCCTTGTAGGTGAGGATGAGGATCTTGAAAGCCCGTTCCATTTAGCCAAGGTTAAATAGGTGTTCTGGAATGACTCTTGTACTGCTTTGCTTGAACCCGCTTTCCTCAGTGGCAAACTATTACAATGGATCAGTCTTTAGTGTTGAACAGTATAACAAGCATAATCCATTATCTTCACAGCCACCCTACCAGTGCACTCAGGTGCACCAAACTTATTTTTGTTTTGCTATTAAGTCCCAGATAATGTCAATATTTCTAAGTAATATTTGGGGAAGAAACATTGAATAAAATTCCATTGCACTTGTATTCTTTCTGGTTCTAGGAAATGGAAGTGGGGAAGTAAGTAATGTAAGAGATGGGGAACAAGATAACAGGGACCATAATATAATTAGCTTAGGTATAAAAAGGAGGGTAAAGGTAAGTTCGTTGGTAACGGAAGCATACTTCGATTAGAGAAAAAAAAACAACCCAGATAAATTGGGCAGAAACATTGGCAAATAATGTTTGCCTACAAAATACAAAATCACTCCACGTTACAATACATTCTGTGAAGCGTTTTGAAAGGTCATTGTTCATAAGCGCCCTGAGATGCTGCCCATGTGAAGGGCGCTATATAAATGCAAGTTGTTGTCCTCCCGATATGAAAGGCACTATGCCAAACGGAAGGACTTTTTTTTATTATAAAACACTGGATAAACAGTGGGAAATGTTTCCCTGTGTTTGCAATCTGAGTTCCACAATTCACCATGTGGGATAGCCTGCTTCTTCCCAATCATGGCCAGGCACTTCCAAATGAAAGTTGGCCATCAAGTCTTACAGATCTACATGTGTCATTTCTATTTTTCTGACCCAATATTCAGATTCAAATCTCATATTCAGTTCAGTCTACACAGCTGATAGAAGCTTTTTAAAGCATGCTTGTAAGCAATACATTACATGTGCAGTATATATTAAGTTTCTTACTATATTGCTTAGTCCTGTCTCAGTCAGGTCAAACACAGCTGTCAGTGGCTTTCCTGGTTCTCTTTTGGCATAACGTTCTAACCAGAAAGCTACACACTTCTTCTTGTCCAAAACTGTTTTTGCCTCCTTCGTGTGTAGCTTCACTCTAAACCAAACTGTAAAAGTGAACACAGAATAATATTCCGTCAAGTGCAACCATGCAAATCAGGCCCAAGACAGTGCAGTAATAATGTCACGTTCCATGCTTCCATGATTCTTCCCCCAGAGCTCCCGTTAACCATGCAAACCAGGGCTTAATGGGTAGGGTGATCGTATCTGAACAAGCAGCAGGAAAGCTTGCCAGACAACATTTTCAATGGCAAGCTATGTGGTATCAGCTGGTTAAACTTCAGCATTGCCCCAACACACACTTTGGAATCCCTAAGCTTTGGCTCTTACAAGCCTGTGCCTAATATTCTTCAAATTAGTTAAGCAGGTACATCCCTCCAAGGAGAAAGTGTTTGGAATGGAATGCATACTCAGTCCCTGGAAAGATGCACCCTGCTTACCTAAACATAGACTAAGAAACTACCAGGTTAAATCATTGGGATATGGTAAGTTAGCCAATCTCAATCTTGGCTGCACAAACTCTCCTAGGTTAGAAAAGGGAAAATAGCCAAGATTTCTCTCCCATTAACCGTCCAGCAACCTTGTAAGTATGACTATCACTAAAAACATGTTATTATCTCATTGTAAGAGATTGAAGAAAATGGATAGTAACATTTAATTTCAGCTAATTGCACTCCTCCTGAGGTAAAAGAACAAAATTCAACCCAAATCCAATATATCATGTGTTCTGTGAGGCATAAATTACTCTAAAGTGCATTCTAGCAATGTTAAATTTATTCAAGAAATATACACCCAGATGAAACTTGAATGCCATTTTGCCTCCAGTCACACAAATCAAAAGTTTTAAAAAAAGCCACATTTTTCTTCAACACAAGTCCTACTTTTTAAAAAATAACAAATAATTCAAATTTATCTATATATGTTGCTCTGTTGGGTTCAACTCACACATTTTGTTGCCTTCTTTATCATATCCATGGAGGTAAACAGCTCCAGTTTCAAAAACCCATCCAGGAAAGTTAGATTCACTTAGATCTGCAAAGGGCATAAAGTGCATTCAATTAAAGATTTTCATAGGTTAAATTGATTTCTTCTGCTTAGTAAATCTTCCAATATTTATAAAAAATGTGTAGTTTAGATATTGAAAGTTCATCAAAAAACACTTCTTAGAAATAAAGTTGCTTAAAGAACACAGAATAAATGTAATTGTCCACCACAAATCAGTTTTGAGAGCGTAAACGACCCACAACTCCCAGGCACCACCTAGATTCAAAGGTTTTTCAAAACTTATATCAAAGTGAATCATCATCTGAGTTTATAAGATGGCCAATAAAACAGTTTAAGAATGATCATAATTGATTAACCCAATTGGGGACTCAGTTGAATTCTTAACCCTCAAAAGCTGTTTATGATCATTTCAAACCAGAAAATACGGTTGCCATTAATCACTTCCTCCCAGTCACCTTATCGTCAGGCGAAGGATTTATGTCTACTATGTAAAGAAGCCCATCAACTTTAGTTTGTTTGGAAATAGATGAAAAATCTTGAAATATGTTACAACAAAAACACTTTAAAAGTATTGTAATTCCTAGATTAAGGACTTCTTTTCTGATTTAAAAAAAACTTCCTGTTTTTTTAGAAAGAAAAGAAACTTTCATTTTTTAATGGAAAATAAAAATTAATATTTTTCTTCAAGGCCCATCTTTTAAGACACTCCCCTTCAACAGCGCCTTCAATCACCCTCTGCCCTCCAATCCTCCTGATCCCAACCCCCGGGTCGGGGTCCAAATCCCTGACTGCTCATCGCCTTGGAACAACTTCCCGACGTGAAAGGCGCGATACAAATGTAATTTGTTGTTGTGGCAGTTTATCGTATTGATAAATTTCAGAAACCCAGAAGTGATACTGAAGCTGTATAGTGTTCAGGCACCTGGTAGACTGCAGTCAGTTCTTGTCACTGCAGGATAAGGGACGACCCAGGTCCGAGAGGCAGTTCAGATGACAGCCATGACGTTCTCTTTCATTATTTCCACATTTTAATACACTGTTCTTTAAAAGATTGATTTTAATTCTCAACTTCTTTTCTACAATCCCTAAAACTGCTTATATCAATGCTTTCATTTAGTTCCTTAGCCAGTTTTTTTCTTTGAAATTAGTTTGCTATATTTCAATTTCAGCATAATATCAATATTGAAAAACTAATGCACAATTCCGAGAACTGTGCACTTAAGATGTGCAGGTTTTCGGGAGCTGTCTTTGGATCTGTACATTTTGAGCAGTGAAAAGTTGAGGATGTTAGTCTTAAGTTTCTGGAATGAAAGTGGTTTATCAAAATACAAGAAACAGTTCAAGTTTGTGAACACGCTATTCCGAGGACTGGAATACATTCCTTATAATCATTTATTTAGCATAGCAGTTACTGATAATCACCAAGGACACCAAACAATACATTAGATTTATTTTAACTTTGAATAAAACCAAAGGGCATGCGTCATCCATGTAAATTGGCCTACTTAATCACCCCATACCACAACTATGGTATTCTATTGGATTCCATTTAAAATTTAGGTCGTAAGGTTAGATTACATTTGAATTTTAAATTCAGAAATATTCGCTACTAAATAACAAATAAATAAATAAATAAATAAATAAAATAACTTCTGACAATAAATAACTTTTGACCAAATAGCCCCATCTATGTATTATACACTTACCATTGTTATCACACTACATATCACTGTTCGTCCTTATCAGTGAAAAGATTGTATGAAGACATCACAGATGGATTTTATGTTAAGTGAGAACTTACTGTGGACAAGAAATTCTTTTCTCCATTGAAAACTTTCATCAATCATTTTCAAAGCTTCATCTACATTGTAATGTCTCCACTGTAAGTAGCCCTCAACCCAGCTGTCTTCTTGCTTCAGTCTTTCAACATCTCGTGAATCATATTTATCTGCCTTGTCTACAAAAAGGAAACAAATAAACAGTATTGATATTTTAGCCTGTGGTTTGTATCTTTAACCTAGTCAAACTAGACACAGCTGACTACAAAATTTGGCCAGTACATAAAGCTGACCACAAAATCTTGGCATTCACGATATAAAATAAATGATACTCATTGATGCCTTTCAGGCTGACAATGTCCCACTAATCCACCACCTCTCGCCTTAGAGTGTGCATCTTGGTTGCGGCCCCCGACCCGAGCTGGACCTCCCTCAAAATACCCCTCTCCTTGCAACTCTCCCGTTCTGTCCTGCTCTCTCTCTGCCCTCCCCGCCTCCTATCTCTTCCTGAACACCCCCCTCAACTGCCTCCCTCTGCACCAGCCTGGGAATGCTCCGTCAGGCTCATCATGGCACTCAGCTTTGGCTGTCCAGCAGCAGCTACACCGACTACCCCATTCCCCACTACTGCCGCAAGCCTCCCCAGACCTAGACCCCGGGGGCTAACCTCTCTTCCCTCATCCGCATCCCCACCCTCCCTCCCAACCATTCCAATACCCCCTCCCATCCCACACATCCCCCTGCCAACTGTCCATCCGCATTGGCCTTCAAAACATCCACTCCATCTGCAATGAAACCCTGACCGTCAATGATTTCATCCTCGATGAAAATGTTAATATTATGGTCCTCATGGAAACCTGGATCCCCTTCACTGAGGCCACACCACCCGGCTACACCTACCACCATGCTCTACACCCCAACCGTCGTGGCCCTCATCTCCAGGCCGTCACTTGCTAGGGTGTCCCCCTACACTGGCTCATTCCCCTCTTTTAAACACCTTATCCTCTGCCACCCCTCCCACCTCTCTAAAAATCCTAATTTACCGCCCCCCACCCCTAAATCCTCCCCCACCTTCATCTCTGACGTCTCCACCCTGCTAGCTTCTCTCTGCCCCAACTGCCTCATCATCCTAGACAACTTCAACCTCCACTTCACCCCCTCTTGCTCCACCGCCTCAGACTTCTCCTCTCTCCTCTCTCAACCTCTCCCTCCACATTCACCTTGCTACTCATGTTCATGGCCACCCGCTCGACTTGGTGATCACCCGGGGTCTCAGCGTCTCGGATGTCACCATCACCGACAAGGCCATCTCTGACCACCATTTCAACTCCTATATCCCTCTCCCCACTGCCTTCAAACCTACCACCATCTCCTACCGCCCGTAAAAGAAGATCTCCCCGCAATCCCTCTCCGCTGTTCTGGAGTCCTCCGAACTCCTTCCCGTCTGGCCCAGCTCCCGCACCAACCCATGCTCTGCGTTTACTCTCCTCCACAGCACCCTCTCCACCACACTCAACGCCCTTGCCCGCCTCACCTCCCGAACTGCCTCCTATTCCCGATTCTCACCCTGGATCACCAGCCACCTCCGCTCGCTCAAGGGCCAGGTGCGGGCTGCCGAACGCACTTGGCTCAAATCCGATCTAACGGTCCATCGGCACATCTGGCTGGACCACATCAAAACCTACCGCTCCACCTCTCGCATTGGCCAAATCGTCCTTCTATTCCAGATTAATCCTAGAGGCAAAGGGCAACCCCAGGCTCCTGTTCTTCACCACCATCCTGGAAGCGAAGGGCAACCCCATTCCTCCCACAAGCCACCCCGGACCCAAACCCCGGGGGCTAACCTCTCCTCCCTCATCCGCATTTCCTGTTCTCCTCCACCCTCCCCGTAACACCTTGCAGATTCTTCCCTCCGACTCCCACTACGAGGAAATGCTGGTCCAAAATTGAGGAAATCCGCTCAGCTGCTACTGCCCTCCCAACTTCCACCCCCTCCATACCCATTCCAACCACTATCCATCCCTCCTTCCACACCTTTGAATCTGTTACCCCCTCCTCTATCATCACCACCATATCCTCCATGAAACCCACCACCTGCTCCCTGGACCCCATCCCCACCGCTCTCCTTAAATACCAACTCCATCTCCTTGTCCCACTTCTCGCCGACATCATCAACCTCTCCCTGTCATCTGGTACTGTTCCTAACCCCTCAAAACAGCCAAGGTCACAAATGACATCCTGACCATGTGTGACAAGGGCTCCCTCTGCCTCCTCGTCCTCTCCGCCGTTTTTGACACTGTGGATCATTCAATCCTCCTCCACCGCCTCTCCTCCACCCATCTCAACCTTCAAGGTTCTGTCCTTGACTGGTTCAGGTCCTACCTCTCACACCGCCTCCACTTCATCTCAGTGAATGGCTTCTCCTCCAGCCCCCGCACCGTCTTGTGCGGCATTCCTCAGGGCTCTGTCCTCAGTCTCCTCCTCTTCATCGTCTACATGGTCCCCCTTGGTGACATGATCCGCAGACATGGGGTAAATTTCCACATGTATGCAGATGACATCCAACTCTATTTCTTTGCCTCCACCCTCAACTCGAGGACTACTGGCGATCCTACTGACTGCCTGTCCGACATCAAGTCCTGAACGAGGGACAACTTTCTCCAGCTGAACATCAGCAAGACCGAGGCCCTCCTGATTGGCTCACACCAATGTCTCCGCACCTCAGGCATCATCAGCCTCCACGGCTGCACACTCAACCTCACTAAGCCAGTCAGGAACCTGGGTGTCTTGTTTGACCCTGAACTGTCCTTTCTCCCCCACATCTGTGCCATGACCGGCATTGCCTACCACCACCTCCACAACATTGCCAGACTCCGCCACTGCCTCACCCCTCAAGCTGCTAAAACCCTCACCCACGCAGTCATCACATCAAGGCTCGATTATGGAAATTCACTCCTCATTGTCCTTCCCAACTCTTCCCTTTGCAAGCTGCAGATCATCCAAAACTCTGCAACTCATGTACTCTCATGCAACATGCTCCAGGACTCCATCATTCCCACCCTCGCCCAACTCCACTGGCTCCCCATCCCTCAGAGGATCAAGTTTTCAAGGTCAAGGCCATCCATGTCTACCGCCCGACCAGCCCTACCATCAGTGGCCGGGCTTTCAGCCTCTCTGCCCCCACACTCTGGAACTCCATCCCACGGTCCCTCCACCTCGCTTCCTCCCTTGCCTCCTTCAAGGCCGGTCTCAAGATCCTCCTCTTCGATCGCCCTCCCACCTCTTTGCCTTTCCTCACTCCTACACAACCCCTCCCCCATGCTCGGATCCTGACCCCTGACTGTCCAGCACCATGGGATGTCCTCCCGACGTGAAAGACGCTCTATAAATGTAATTTTATTGTTGTTGTTCTTCAAGTCAGGAGGATGTCTCAAAGTACTTAGCTATGCTTCCATCCATCATTTGTTTATTATTCATTGATATTTATGTCAATTTGATTCAAAAGATGTTTACAGGATATGCTGATCATTTCTGAATGGTCATCTATAGTAAAAATAATTTGATGATTCAATATAGGGTGTTGGCTGTTTAACAGAATTGTTGCTCAATTTTCAGTTTAAAAATATTCAAAGAACTAATGTTAGTTCTAAAATATTTTGGATACAAATGTAGTTTTGGTTATTTTGTCTTTAAACACAGAACCATAGAATGTTATATCAAATCTCATCCTGAGCAATATTTAAAAGCTAATAAAATGGCAGGTTTTAATTTCTACCATCATTACACTTTCTCGAGAGCAAACAGAGTTTCCGTTTGGTAGTGCGGTATTTAGAGGAGCACAATATAATTAGACCAAGTCAACATGGCTTTACAAAAGGGAAGTCATGTTTGACAAATCTCTTAAGAGTTTTTTGAGGATATTTGCAGTAAACTAAATAAGGGTGAATCAGTGGATGTGGTCTGTTTGGACTTCCAGAAGGCATTCGATAAGATGCCGCATAAAAGGTTAATCCAAAAGATAAGGGCCCATGGAATTGGGGGGAGCATATTAACGTGGACTGGGGAATGGTTAACGGGCAGGAAACAAAGAGTAGGGATAAACGGGTCCTTTTCAGATTGGCGGGATGTGACTAGTGGAGTGCCACAAGGATCAGTCCTTGGGCCTCAGCTATTTACCATCTACATCAACGATCTAGATGAGGACATCAAAGTTAATATATCTAAATTCACGGATGACACAAAACTAGGAGGAAGTGTCAACACAGAAGACGACATTAAAAAAATGCAGCGCGACATAGATAGGTTAGGTGATTGGGCAGGTAGGTGGCAAATGAAGTATAATGTAGGGAAGTGCGAAGTCATCCACCTAGGTAGCAAAAACAGTAGAGCGGGTTATTTGTTAGAAGGGGAGAGACTGGAATGTGTTAGCGTCCAGAGGGACTTGGGTGTCCTTGTACACCAATCACAGAAAGGTAGTCTGCAGGTGCAGCAAACACTTTTAACATGTTATTTACGTATGTGAAAGCAGTCTACAACAGTACGTCATGGAACTGATTAGGTGCTGTTGTTGCCTTAGAACAGGATCAAGGCTGAGTTAAAAGTCTTTTACTTTGTATCTATAGTTACATTTCAGACATCCTAGTGTCCTTACATTTACTCCAATACATAGTCAGAACTATTTTCAACAGAGGTCAGAAAGTAAGTATTAAAGGTTGTTTATATTAACCTAAAAATCACATTTCTTGTCAGCAATTTCAGTTTAAAAACGGATTAGCACATTTGGAATGCACTAAATAGTTTCAACTATAATTTGACTGCAGTGGAATTCATGCTTAAAACAATTGAATATCCATCTTCCACTGAATGCAAGGATACATAAATCTGCTATTCCAATGCAACATGCAGCATTCCAGCCACATAATTCAACTGCACCAGCAAAGAAAAAAGTAGCCTCTCCCCTTGATACCAACACCTTTTGTTTACAAACCATACGTATTTTAAAATATATTCAGAGCATTCATAAAAGGTCCACTTTTAAATAGCACCATTACTGAACATATTCCGAATGTGTTCCACAGTAATAAGACATTTCAAAGTTGAAATTATTTCAATGCTATGTTGTAATGTTATGTAGATTGTGTACAAGTTTATACTACTGTGATTAATATACCAAACAACCCATACATTGAATTTGTTAGTGATGCAAATGAAATACAACTTACGTGGTTACTCATATTTAAAGTAAGGCAAGCTCAGAAGTTTTTAAAACATCTGGAAACACCCAAAACAACTTAAAAAAGCCTTTAATTTCCCAAGAGATGACCTTATTGCAAGCATAATTACAGCCTGTTGCCCAAGTTGCCTCTTTTGTAATCATTCTCAAAACTGTTGGGGTAGGGATAATTTACATAGATTGTGTAACACAGAAAGAGACCATTCGGTTCAACAAATCTCCAAACACCAACTAATCGTGGTGTCTAGACTCCACAAGTGTCCACCCACCTTTTACTTATTTCTGTACACTTCTATTTCCCTCTCCCTCACATGAAAGTCTAGCTTTGTCTTGAACGCATCTATAATGTCCAATTCAAATACTGTTTTGGGCGGCAGCAAGTTCTACATTCTCATTACCCTCTGCATGAAGTAGTTCCTCCCAAATTGTTTAGTTCCCTTAGTCAAAATCTTATACTTGTGTCCCTGTGATTATGAACTCCCCAACAAGTAGGAACTGTCTATTTATGCTAATCTTTTCAAAATTTTGAACACCTTTATTAGGTCTCCTCTTAGAGCTTTTATTAGATCTCTGCTCTGGCAAGAAAAGGTCTAACCTACCCAGTCTACCCTAATAGCAGTAACCTGCCAGTCCTGGTATCCTCTGAGTAAATCTAAACCCTCTATATTCTTCTTGCAGTTTGACAACCAAAATTCAGAGAGCAGCTTGCAAAGATTTCCACTGACAGAAAGTAGACAGGATCAGTTTCAAACAGGAAAGGAAAGCAGGATCTCCAGCAGAACTGGTTCCCTAAGACAGTACCTGGTAAATGCTCGCTCAAAAACCGCTCTCGTATCTCATTTATCAGTTTGTCTTGGTCCTGTAAAAGAAAAGTAGAAGTGCCACATCTGTCAGCAACCTCACTGTTCTCTTCCCCACCATTTACAGACCCCACTCTTTTTTCCCCTCCACTCTCACCCGCCCCCACTGACCCCCCTCCTCACCCACCCCCAGACCCCCCCTCACCCGCCCCCACTGAACCCCCTCTCATCCGCCCCCACTGAACCCCTCACCCACCCCCACTAACTCCCCTCCTCACCCGCCCCCACTGACCGCCCCCTCACACGCCCCCACTCACTCCCCTCCTCACCCGCCCCCACTGACCCCCCCCTCACCCGCCCCCACTCACTCCCCTCCTCACCCGCCCTCCACTGACCCCCCCTCACTAACTCCCCCTCACCCGCCCCCACTGACCTTCCCCCCCTCACCCGCCCCCACTGACCCCCCCCCTTTCTCACGGTTCTCTCCTCCACTCTCCCGGTGTACGTCTCTGCCCCGCCCCCCCCCCCCGGGTGTGTGGTGTCCCCCCCCCCGGGTGTGTGGGTGTGTGGATGTCCCCGGGGTGTGTGGGTGACCCCCCCCGGGGTGTGTGGGTGTCCCCCCCCCCGGGTGTGTGGGTGTCCCCCCCCCCCGGGGTGTGTGGGTGTGTGGGTGTCCCCCCCCCGGGGTGTGTGGGTGTCCCCCCCCCGGGGTGTGTGGGTGTCCCCCCCCCCAGGGTGTGTGGGTGTGTGGGTGTCCCCCCCCGGGGTGTGTGGGTGTCCCCGGGGTGTGTGGGTGTCCCCCCCCCGGGGGTGTGTGGGGTGTGTGGGTGGTCCCCCCCCCCGGGGTGTGTGGGTGTGTGGGTGTCCCCCCCCCCGGGGTGTGTGGGGTGTGTGGGGTGTCCCCCCCCCGGGGGTGTGTGGGTGTCCCCCCCCGGGGTGTGTGGGTGTGTGGGTGTCCCCCCCCCCGGGGTGTGTGGGTGTGTGGGTGTTCCCCCCCCCCGGGGTGTGTGGGTGTGTGGGTGTCCCCCGGTCCCTCACCCGCTGCTGTTCGCCCGCCATGACGGTCGACACTGCGCCGCTCACGTGACGCGCTCTGCCCTCTGCCCTCTGTCACGTGAGGCGGAGCAGAGGCGCCGCCGCCCCTCCTCTCAGGCCGATCCCTCCCTCCCTCCCCCCCGGCGGCCCTGGGCCCCCACAGTGCCGCTGGCGGAGGCTGCGAGGCCGGCGGTCAGTTTGAAAACAGCGGAAGAAACTCGAGCCGAGAGACTCACCGCGTGTGAGTGAGTGAGTGAGTGAGTGAGACTCGGCTCCTCAGCTCAGACTCAGACTCCCTCGGCCTCCGCCACAGACGGCAGATCATCCAGAACTCTGCCTCCCTCTCCCTGTCCCTCTCCCGCACCACCCGACTCCGCGCCCTCTCAGCCCCATCCCCCCCCCGACTCCCCCCCCTCCTCCCCCGACTCCCCATCGCGCGGAGGATACAGTTCGAGTTCCTGGCCCTCACCTTCAAAGCCCTCCGCCGGTCTCGCTCCCCCCCTCCCCTCCTGACCTCTCCCCCCCTCCCCTCCCCTGACCTCTCCCCCCCCTCCCCTCCCCTGACCTCTCCCCCCCTCCCCTCCCCTGACCTCTCCCCCCCTCCCCTCCCCTGACCTCTCCCCCCCCCCTCCCCCGACCTCTCCCCCCCCTCCCCTCCCCTGACCTCTCCCCCCCCCCCCCCGACCTCTCCCCCCCTCCCCTCCCCTGACCTCTCCCCCTCCCCTGACCTCTCCCCCCTCCTCCCCTGACCTCTCCCCCCTCCCCTCCCCTGACCTCTCCCCCCTCCCCTCCCCTGACCTCTCCCCCCCTCCCCTCCCCTGACCTCTCCCAACCTCCGACCCCCCCTCCTCCCACCGCCACCGCCCCACCCGCTCGCTCCCTCCCTCCGCTCCGCGGGCTCCGGCCGGCTTCACCCACTCACCCCCCCCACCCGCCTCGCACGCCCCCACTCACACACCCGAGGGGGAGGGGGGACAGGGACACCCACACACTTCGGGGGGACAGGGACACCCACACACCCCGGTGGGGGGGGGAAGGGACACCCACACACCCCGGGGGGGGGGGGGGGGGGACACGGACACTCACACCCCCCGGGGAGGGGGGCGACAGGGACACACACACACCCGGGGGGGCGGACAGGGACACTCACACACCCCGGGGAGGGGGGGCGATAGGGACACTCACACACCCCGGGGGGGAGGGGGACAGGGACACACACACACACCCCAGGGGGGGGGCAGGGACTCGCTCGCCCCTCGCTCGCCTTCCGCCACTCTGCCCCCCACCCGCTGGGACCCCATCCCGCAGTTCCCCCGCCTCGTCCCCTCCCCCGCCAGCTTCAAGACCCTCCTCTTTAACTGTGCTTTCGATCTCCCCCCCCCCCCCGCCCTCCAACCTCCCTGATTCCAACCCCCAGCTCGGGTCCGAGACAACAACAACGACTTGGATTTACATAGCGCCCTCCACGCCGGACGGCGTCTCAGAGCGCTTCACAGTAACGGATCCCGGGGCTGAGCCAGGGGGAGGAGAGGAAGGTGACCAAAGGCGCGGTCGAAAAGAAAGGTCTTCAGCAGAGACCTGATAATAGGAAGAGAGGGGGTGAAGCGAAGGGAGTGAGGAAGAGAGTTCCAGAGCCTCGGGGCATAGTGGCTGAAGGCACAGCCGCCGAGGGTGGAGCGGAGGACTCGGGGGACAAGGAGGCCAGACCCGGAGGAACGAAGGCAATGGGCACTGTTTTGAGAAGAGAGGAGGTCAGAGAGGTAGGGGGTGCAGAGGAGTGCAGGGACTTGAATACAAGGGTGAGGATCTTGAAGTCGATCTTCTCTGGGACAGGCAGCCAGTGCAGTCTGGCAAGGACTGGGGTGATCGGGGAGCGGAGTTTGGTGCGGGTGAGAATGCGCACGGCAGAGTTTTGAATAATCTGGATTTTATGGAACACTGACTGTCCAGCACCTTGGGTTGTCCTCCCGATGTGAAAGGCGCTGTACAAATGTAATTTTGTTGTTGTGATAGAGATGATTTATAGGAGGAGCAGGGGGAGGGAGAGAGAAAGAGAGACTGAGTGATTCTCGACTGACTGTCGAAGCTCACCCTGAGGGAAGGGGAGAGGGAGGGGAGAGAAGTGAGATTTTGGGGCTGACTCAGAGATTTCTGCCACCAGTATTCTCACCCACACTAAACTCCGTAACCCCTATCACACAGTCCTCGACAGCCTCCACTAGCTCCCTATCTCTGAAAAGATCGATTTCAAGATCCTCACACTCCTCTACAAATCCCTGCTCACCTGGCACCTCCCTACCTTTCTGACCTGCTTTCTCCCCATTCCATTACCCACTGGCTCCGCTCGGCTGGCTCTGGCCTCCTGTTTGTCCCTCGTACCCTCCGCTCCACAATCGGCGGCCACGCTTTCAGCTGCTACGCCCCGAAACTTTGGAACTCTTCCCCCAATCCTTCCACCTTGGGCCCTCCTTCCCCTTTTTTAAATCACAACTAACGACCTTCCTCTTCGATCATACTGACAGTCACTCCTCCCTCCCCCCAGCTCGGCGTCAGGATTGACCACTATAAAGCGCTCTGAGACACTGCCCTGTATGGAAGAGCACTATATAAAAGCAATTTGTTGTCGAATGAATGACCAGAGAGTGTCTGGGACTCGCACTCGGAGGGAAGGGGAGAGAGAGTCTGGTCGTCGCACCCTGAGTGAGGAGAGTCTGGGATTAACACTGAGGGAGTGAGGAAAGAGAGAGCGACTGGGGCTCACACACTTGCATGAAGGAGTGAGTAAGTGAGGAGAGAGCGTGAGACTCTCACTGAGTGAGGAGAGGCAGTCAGAGGCTCACAGACTTGAGTGAGGGAGAGGGAGAGAGAGTGTCTGGGGCTCACAGTCTTGGAGGAATGAGTAAAGAAAGAGTCGGGCTCACGCTTTGAGGGAGGGAGAAGAAAGAAAGAGTGTTTGTCTGTTGAGGCGAACATTTGGGATGAGGGAGACTGCTCACACCCCCGACTCCATTGGCTCCCTCACCTCTCAGCTGGCTCCGGCCTGCTCCACATCCCCCGACCCACCCGCCCCACCATTGACGGGAGAGCCTTCAGCCACTCTGCCCCCAACCTCTGGAATTCCATCCCCCAATCACTCTGCCTCGCCCTCTCCTTAGCCTCCTTCAAGTCTCGCCTCAAGACTCCTATTCGACCATGCCATCCGCCACCCCACATCCCTTCTTCTCGCTCCCCCCCTCCCCGACCCCAGCTCAAGTCTGAAATGCTGTACACTGTCCAGCGCTTTGGGACGTCCTCCTGACGTGAAAGGCGCTATACAAATGTAATCTTGTTCTTGTTGGTTGTCGTACTTTTTTTTCAACTAATTTGTGTCTCTGATTTCCAGAAACCTGCAGCGTGGAATTGAAGAGATCAGCTAACCACTTCATGAGAGATACCGAAATGGTTTGAAAATTTAGCAGCTGAGATTGCCTTGAAATATATGAATTCTTCAAAGTTGTAAAGTGTTTGCTATAAGTTTGGTTTGAACTCACTCTTGTAGCCTTAAACATTCAGCTATTTGAAACAAAGATGGAATCCATTATAAAGTCTGAGAATGTAGTTACATTAAGTGGCAAGATGATCTCTTTTGCCCTGGCCAAGGAGCGAGCCACAGGAGGAAAATCCAACACAGTGCTCCACTTCAGGAGAATGACATTTGACTCACACAATGGAAAAATTGTTCAGACATTTGCAGGACAATCCAGTGCTAGAGGAAAAAGTTATTTTTCAGAAATTATTGTTTGTTGCTGCACCACAGACTCGAGAACAGGGGAAACTGTACCTTGCATTTTGCTCAAGATGCATAGGAAGGGCAGTGCTACCTTTGGATATGTTTTATTGATACTCCACAACTCAAATGAACTTGAATATCACCTGGACTTTGAATTGGAAAATGAATTGAAGGAGACTGTGAGATTGTTACCTGGGCCCAGTGTTTTCTGGAGCTCTGATGACTCGGTGTATTATGTATCTTTTGAAACTGCTGCCATCGTGACCATCACGGTATCATTTACTTCAGTGAAATGGATTGGGGAAGTTGACAGTGACATAATTCTATTGGGCTCAAGAAAAATTAGCAGACCTATTACAATGGAAGAGAAGTATTCTACATCTGATGAACTGGTTTGGGGCAGTGAATTTGTTGGTTATTCTTTAAAAAAGAAGGAAAGCCTGCGTGGTGATCAATTCATTCCACATGCTTACAGTAGCGTTGTTACAAATATGTTTCTTTGTTCCATTGAAGAAATAGACAATCAGTGGAAGTCTACAGTGGTAGCAAGCACACGTAAAGGACAATTGATATTGTTTGAAAATGGAGTCCCCAAAGACGTATGCCAGCTGCCATTTGAAGAGGCCAATGAAATAAAGATGGGTACAACTGGCGGAGAAAATTGTCTGTTTCTTGTGTCTTCAAGGGCTGGAAGCATTTGTGCTGTCTCCAAGGAAAGTTGGCAGGTAGACTCACTTTGGGCAATTTGCATACCTCTATCAATCCAGAAATATTTAAATGTTGCATCAATGCTTCAAGACTTTCTTTTTAAAAAAAAAGTTCAATTTTCTCCTGAAGACTCTTGTTCTTCCTGGGGTACAGTTGCATAGGGGATGACAGCCTTCCATTATTTAGCAAATTAACCATTCCTTCTAGTGAGTCCAGGCAGTTTGTTTCAGCAGGCTACCCAATGATCCTCATAGTCAAGATCAATCCCATTATTTCCATATAGCGCCTGTCGTAGAATCTTTACTGTACACCCTACAAGGCAGACAGGAACTCAGATTAATGTCTTATCTGAAGGACAGCACCTCCCAACAATGCAGCACACCCTAGCCCTGCATTGGATCAGCAGACACTGGGTTCCAAGTCCTGATGTGGGGTATGAACCCCAAACCTATAAATCAGGCGGGAGTGCAATCAACTGAGCCAGTCTGACACACTTTCTTGCAGAGATGCAGTAAATTCACTTTATAGTATATTCTGTGAAGCACTTTGAGACGTCTTGAAGACATAATAAGACGCTATATCAAATGCAAGGATTATTATTAGTAGGTCAGGAGCAGAGTAGAATGTAGCCATTTTTTTCTTCTTGTTCTTCCTCCTTATCCTCCCTCCCCCACCCCTCAAGTGTATTGCAGCACCCCAAGGATGTCTGATTTGAGATCAACTAATTCAGTAGGCTCTGATTTCAACCTGGGATCTTTTGGTCTGTGTGGCTTGCTTTACGTTAGGCAGTACCTTAGTCCAATTGACTATTAAGGGAACTATAAACACGTACTTTAAAATTCAGACCAGGCCAGTTATGATATTAAAGACTCGAGTTCCAATTTGGTTAGTTCATTTCATACCACACCTCCCCCACCCCCACCACAAAAAATAAAGTCGGTTGCTCGTTAGCGTGGTGATGGGTTTCCGCATGTGTCAGATGCCCAGCACCCCACCGCAAAAGGGCTCAAATATTCAACTCTTAATTGTTATTACTTATCATAAACCATTCTACAATGCCCTCTTGTAAATGAGAGATAATCTTTATTTATCTTATAGCCAGGCATATTTTTGAAACCATTTATTAGGTTCTCCCCGTCTCTCCTCCCACGAGAATTAGGTTTAGGGCTAGGCTGCTTGTGGAGCCAGAGATGTTTATCTAACCACTTTGAGTAAGATAGACAAATTCCGTACATTATATCCGTGAGGATGGGCGGGAGTGGTTTGTGATATTATAAGTCTTGGACTCAAGGGTGATTGCTTGTTGCTTTCAAGTTAAATCTGATTTATCATCTTTTAAAGAATATAATTATTTTTATTTTATTCTAGGTTGTTGCTAGTTGGCAGGCTGCGTGGTCTGTGCATTTGGATGACTTCTTAGGCACAGGGTCAGACCAGATTCTTTTGCTCTCCATGACATCATCCAGTCCAGACGCCTGCCTAAAAGATTTTATCTTAACTGACCTTTGTGAATTTAATTACACAGTGAGTTCCTGCTTTTTCCTACCCTTTGTACCTCATGCAGACAATTTCCCCAAGAGGAATAGTCAGTGACTGGTGTTAACATTTTAAATAAATGTGCAGGTGCTTTCAGGGACTTTACTTCAACTAATCTGAGCTAACAATTCATATAAGCAGATCAATCCACGACTGTTTGTGGGACATTGCTGTGCGCAATTGGCTGCCGCATTTCACCCAAAATATATGCAGTCAATCCACTTTGTTTTTACAATATATTCTGCGAAGTGCTTTGAGACGTCTTAACGGTGTGGTAAGGCGCTATATCAAATGCAAGGATTATTATTATGATTAGCAGGAGTACAATATAATTTACATTTATACAGTGCCTTTCAGGTTGGGAGGACATCCCAAAGTGTAGAAAAAGTATTACTTTTTTGACAGTCATTAACAAATTAAACCAAATATATGTTTACTAAGAATCCAGGGAGTTCCACTTATCTAAAAAAAATGAATCGTACAATGTATTTTTTATTATTACATTAGTTTGTACATATTTATCTTTTGTTGAAACCCTTGCCATCTTTCACATCGTTGTAATTCATTTTTTTTAAATAAATATTTTTCCCGTTTAGACTGACTCTGGGCACCCTGAGGATAGACCGCAGATATTGAATCAAGCAACACATGAACAATATCACCACACAATTCAGGCATTGGAAGCAAGATTACAGGTTTGACTTCATCAATAATGTGTCAGTTTGAAATATCTCAATAATCTAAGATGTTACTTCAGTCAGACATAAGAGTAAGAAAATAGTTATGAATAAAGTGATCCAATTAGGGCTATTGTAAACATTTTATTAAATTACACTATATTTTGGCTATTCAGTTTCCCATTTAGTTTTGTATCTTCTGCTACGACCAATCAGTGCTCCAAACACTAAGCTACAGGACTCCATACTTTACATTCGGAGTCCTGTAACTCAGTGGATAGAGCACTTGCCTCGGAAGCGAGAGACCTGAGTTTGATTACCGGCAGGACTCAATGTTGGTCAAGTTTCCTTACTCCACATGCCTCTATTTACCTAGTAGTAATAATAATAATACTTCCATTTGATATAGCGCCTTATCACATTTCAGAGACGTCTCAAAGCGTTTCACAGGATATACTGTAAAGTGAATTGACTGTATATTTTATGGGCAAAATGCGGTAGCCAATTGCGCACAGCAGTGTCCCACAAGCAGTCATGGATTGAGTGACCAGTTTATTATATATTTTTTGTTTGGAGGAATTATTACCCTCGGAAAAGCGATCTTTTTCATTGAATTTTATTTATTTATATTTATTTATATATAATATATAATATGTATTAAATATAATAATATATAATATGAATAAAATTCATAAATAAAATAAAAGTAAGTAGGAACTCGCTTGTTAGTCGATTTGCGGATCATTTTTCCGGGGGTAATAATTCCTTCGAAAAAAATAATACTAATAATAAATCGGTCATTTCAATCCCCGACTGTGGGACACTACTGTGCGCAATTGGCGTTTTGCCCACAAAATATATAGTCAATTCACTTTACAGTATATTCTGTGAGGTGCTTTTAGATGTCTCAAAGACGTGATAAGGCACAAAATCAAATGCAAGGATTACTATTATTCTTGGCTAAAGAAATCCTAAGTCTATGAATACTTCCATGAAAAAAATCTAAAATACATGGTCAGATATCGCTTGTGTAACTAACATCATTGAATTGATTCAAAGTCCTTTCATATTACTTCCAACTATGCTGCTGTTTCTTTCTGAATCTGATTCCCTAGACCCAAAATAAGATTTTTCGTATGTTGTTTCCGTGCTTATTGAATTACTTTGATCAATATGATTTTTATGAGGAAGTAGAAACTAGAAAGCCCCTTAATTTTTAAAAGGATGTCATTTGACACAAGCTGATTGTGCACACTGGCCGAGAAAAAATTTAACTTTTCCCTGGTGCACAATCCATGCAATTATTTTCGGGGTTCTATTCATTTAAACAATGCTCAAGATTAAAGAAGGCCTGGTCCTCTCTGATATACTACAATGTTTTATAGCTGTTCAAACGATTATTGTAACTCACTGACTGTTCATTCTTTACATGCCTCAGTCTACAAGTCTCTGAATTGGAGACTTACAATTCTCATACCTATTAATGCAACAATGATACCGAATCAGCATTAAAATGAACATGGTTTTCTAATGTTAAATCTGGCCAAATGTATGTTTCACACAGACGAACAGATGGGTGGCAAAATATTAATTCCTTTCTAATCTTCTGAGGCATTTCCACTGGAGTTATTCAGGGAAATCCAATCAAAATTCATTCACGGTTGGACAGAAGAACAGAAAAGATAAGTTTATTTGGGAATGTGAAACTACTTGTGTGCAATCATGAGATACTAAATTTTGGAATCTACTCTAGTTCCTGTTTTAAATATTTACTGATTAAATGCAGTACCTTTTGTAGGCTTTTCACTTGAACTTTCATGTGAAATATGACCTTTCAAGCCCAAATAATTTGACTTCCAGAGAACAGTCAAATGGTCTGTAATGTTACTTTATTTTACAGGTTATCACAACACAGATACAGTTGAAGAAAAATATTTGGTCTATTTGATCTTGTACTTATAATAATAATATTTTGAAATAGCATCTTATTACATCAATATCTTGAAATGTTTCAGAGTTTTTTTGCAAAGTGAAATGATTGTATTTGTAGGCAAGCATGGTAGCCAATTGTTAGCCAGGATACTGGGAAAAGCTCCTTTTTCTCTTCAAATGGTGTCGTGGGATCTTTAACATCCACCTGAACAGCAGACAAGACTTCAGTTTATAACCTCTGAAGAGCGGCACTGCTAACAATTCTGTGAAGCGCTTTGGGACGTCCTCCTGAAGTGAAAAGCGCTATATCAAATCCAAGGATTATTATTATTAATACAGTTTCCTTCCCTCCCCACCTCCACCCATCAAACCATAACTATTTGTCACTTTTTCTGCAGTAAATTTCTCAGTGACTTTTTTGCAGATTATACAAATGAGATGGAAATGTAGTATATATTGTTACCTTTAAATGGCTGTTGAGATGTTTTCCTAAGAATTCTTATCACGTCTTGCAGTCAGGCCTGGCCGCCCTCCATGAACTGCAGGACCTGCTAGCAGATAAAGAGAGAGTTTTACTTCAGTGTTCCAAAGCCTTGATAAACCTCGTTGAAGGAAACCCGTGCATCTTACCTGAGGCTGAGGAGGTATGATGTTCGACATGTAGATTGACTGGAAGCCTTTTCAAATTATACTTGCACCTTGTCTAACAAATAATAAAATTTGTTATTGTCTAAATGTCCTATACATTGTTTATAATGTTATTTAACTTACAATGTTATACTGCTTAAAATGCTCTTGTCATTTATGTTTATAACATTTCATCAATATTTTGCTGGGATGATGTGAACAAGTTATTTGAAGTCCAAATTAATATATTTGGGCAGTGGAGAGGTTGAAGGTTATTATGAAGGGGTGGAAGTTGGGAAGGTTTAAGATTGGCAACAAAGAAAAGGGGTATAAAAAAATATTTTCAGCATTATACTTTTGAGTTGATACTTTCCTTTTTTGAAAAGCAGAGGCTTCCCTTGTTAATTACAAAAATGCAACCTCGATGCACATAATACTGAATGCTTAGAAAAACTGTTTTACATGCAAATGAATTGCTTAGAAAAGAGCTTAACATTCAACTTGTAACTCAGTCATCCGAACATAAAGCTAGCTCTTCTAAGATATTTTTAATGTTCAGATTACTAAATTATTCTGGAAAGCAATCTGTATATTCAGTTGATTTAATTGCTATTTGGATGTTATTTTTTATACTGGCTCGATGCTGTTGGCTTTCAAATATCAGTGGTGTGGAGAAAGCTCTTTGCATCAGTGCTGATGGGATTCAATCCGATTATTAGTAACAAAAACATTATGACTTTTCAGGAAGGTTTGGTTTCTCTGTGGGATGAGGAGGAAACTGATCTACAGCCCCTAGAGGAAGAGACAAATTCCACCACTCAGGTTTTAAACCATCCAATGCAGAGGGTCTGGCAGCGGGTAGTGGATGACAGCTGGGTTGTGGGAGTGCAATTATCTGAATCTGTTGGCGTGTAAGTAAAAGTGGACAAGTAATAGATGCAATGTTGCTCCCGAGTTGAATTACAATATCAAATGTGATGATTCCTGGAATGGAATGTTCAGGGAAACAATTTGTTTTGATTGAGAGAAATCTTCAAGGATTTGGTTTTCATTATTTTGCAAATTCACTTATGTTTTGGATTATTTTTGTGAAATATTAATTTAAATATTAATCGGTTTAAAAATCCACAATAAACCAATTTTTAAATGATATAAAATTGGCATCAAAGCAGATGGTGAATAACTCAGCTTTCTTTAACCAAGCATTCATATCCAGTTATTCTGTAGGCGTTCACCTTCAAAAAAAATGCAGTCACTGCACTTGACAATGAATGCTTTGAAGCACTTTTGAGACATTCTCCCATGTGAAAGGCACTATATTATGTTATTGAATTTGTCCCACTATGCCAAATAAATCTCACTCTTCATAATAATAAGTGCCATAAGTGAACAGCAAGTGCAAAAAGGGAATTGTGAGTGTGTTTAGACTGTTTCTTAGGGAGCATCTAATGCTGATTGTATATTGCTGAAAATTAAACAATATTGGTGGAAGGAGGTAACTGAAATCACAGTCAGAAAGAAGAGTCTTAATAAAAGTGGAGCAGGAAGGTTTAAAGTAGAAGAACTCTGGAATGGAGTTCCAGAGAGCAAGGCCAGAATGTCAGAAAGCTTTGCCCATTGATAATGGGGCAAATCAGGCGAGGTGACATGAAGCAGGCCAGTATTCGATGAGTGGAGGGAGAGGCCAGGGAAATAGAATTGCAGGAGATCACAGAGGAGTGAGACCATAATAATAATCCTTGCATTTGATATAGCGCTTTTCACGTCGGGAGGACGTCCCAAAGCGCTTCACAGAACATACTGTAAAGTGAATTGACTGTATATGTGTGGGCGAACGTGGCAGCCAATTGCGCACAGCAATGTCCCACAAACAGTCGTAGATTGAAAATGACCAATTTATTATTGTTTTTGTTTTTGGAGGGATTATTATTAGGCGTGTGGAGTAAGGAAACTTGCCCAAGGTTTCGCCCTGCCGGGAATTGAACTCAGGTCTCTCACTTGCAAAGCGGGTGCTCTAACCACTGAGCTACAGGACTCCACGAATTTGAGGAATTTGAATGCAAGAACGAGTACCTTGAATTTGATCTTCTCGTGGATGGGGAGCTATTGGAGCCATGCAAAGATAGTGGTGGTAGGCTTGTGGAGATTTGTGCGGGAAATGATGCAAGCTACAAAGTTCTGAATGTTTTTGAGCTTGTGTAGGGAAGGATAAGGGAGCAGGGTATTCCAATAATTGAGCCTGGACGTGATGAATGTGTTAAGGAGGATCTCGGCAAGCTAGAGGAGGGGTAGTGGCGGAGGCTAGTGATATTGCAGAGATGAAGAAAAGCCAAGTGAATGAGAGCCCTGTTGTAGGGTTTGAAGACATTTGGGAGTCAAACAGTACAGCAAGTTCCACATTGGCTCCAAGCGATGGGAAGAATGTCACAAGTGACTGCTATTTGATGAGACAAGGTGAAGAAGCTAGGGTAGGTAAGAGAACAACCAGGAAAGGGCAGTACTGTGGCGGTGGAGTAGGGAAGAGGGATGGTGAAGAAGGATAGAGTGGTCAATTGGTTTGAAGGCGATAGAGAGATAGAGAAGAACAAGGAAGCAAAGGGAGTCTTAGATGCAGATGGAGAGAATATCATTGGAGTCTTTTACTGGGCAGTCTCAGTACTGTGAGTGAGGTGGAAACAAAATTAGAGTGACACTAGGAAGGAATGATGGTGGAGGAAGCTGGGAGGTCACAACTTGCTCCAGTACATTGGCGAGGAAGGGATACGCACAAAGCAACCCTTTAGCTATTCTACATTACGAGACATAGATGGAGACATATAATCATAAGAGATGCTGCATTAGGCAACAAGTAAGGTATGCCAACTGTGTCATTATAGTGTATTTGTTCTACCCATGTTCAAATCACAGTGCTACATTTTTGTTTTTTCTCTGTTGTGACTGGTTATACTATAATCTGAATCTATGTATTCAATACATTACAATTTTATTATGCACACGTATTTCTGTACGATTTCTGTAAGTTTTGAATGGAGGACATTACAAGGGGCCAATTGACCTATATAAAATGGGGGGAGGGACAAAAACTCTGAAACAAAACCAGGCAGGTTGAACGTAGGTGTTTCAAGACAAATGTTGGGAAATATTATTTTTATTAAAGTGTACAAATTAGTGATGAATATTAAGAAGCCAGAATCTACACTAGGTATGTTAAAACAAAAAACAGTAATAAATTGGTCATTTTCAATCCACGACTGTTTGTGGGACACTGCTGTATGCAATTGGCTGCCGTGTTTCGCCCACAAATATACGGTCAATTCACTTTGCAGCATATTTTGTGAAACGCTTTGAGACATCTAGAAGATGTAAAAAGCGCTATATCAAATGCAAGGATTATTATACAGAGGCACAAGCTTCCATGAGCCAAATGGATTTTTCAAAGTCAATGCAGAGGTGTAGTGCATTGGACCACATGTCTATCCCAAACATGATTTTATATTAAAATCATAATTGTTTATTGTTGGGGGTTTGAAAGAAACGATTCCTGAAGACATCTTTGAAGTAAGCACACGGAAAACTGAAAATGATGCAAATCAAATTTAAGATTTAGACGTTTTGGCCTATTTATTGAAGTCTTTATCAATGAGTTTATAAATCTTATAATAACTGCAATACTGGGGGAGTGCTGCATTTTAGGAAATACTGTATTTTGGATGAGACGTGGGAACATTTCTTTGAAGCTGAAAGACATTTGGAGTGACATTAAATTTTAAGTCATTTTTATCTTCAGGTAACCTTTAAAGATTCCATAACATTATTCAAAAAAAGAAGAGAATTTCTCCTGGTATCTTGTCTTAACAATTCTCCAAATTAATTGTTCATTCACTTCATTGCCATTTGGGAGACCTGGACAACAATTACCTGTAAAGCACTTTGAGATGTTTCAACTTGATTGATGTTAAATGAAATGCAAGTTGTATCATTAAAATAATAGGCAATGTTTGATTGATCAGCGCTTTGAGATATCCTCCCGAAGTGAAAGGCTATATAAAATATATTGTATGATCTGTGTAATTTATGTTTGCATTGTTCTCCTCAGAACTTTTGACTTTGTGAGCCTATTTCTGGTGATGGATCAGGATCTTTTAAATACTCCTCCAGTGATTGAGTCTCACAGTAACGTATTGAAACTTAGCAAGTCTGTGGTACCAACCCAGTCACCAACCCAGTATCCAGCAGAACCTCCATTAAAGAAGCTGAAACTGGACTTGCAAGGCATGAAGCATGTGAACAGCATCCATAAAGATCTTTGCCCTAGCATTCATAAAGATCATCTGCGGATTGTTACTGCTGTCACAAAGCTCTCACCTTTGTTAATGTACAATAACGTGCAGTGCTCTGTATTGCTATATGGAATCAAAGGTCCCAGCCAGGAAACTGAATTGACAAAAAGAGAAATAATATTGCCATGTGGAAGTGTTTCGTTGAACCTGGAGGGCATTTGGAATGAAAAATACATTGTACAATTATTACAGAATCCTCAAGTACATTCAGGTAACTGCAGATGTTTTCAATGAAAATATTTCATGCCTAAAATTAGAATTTTTCTTATTTTTTGGAGCTTAATTCTAAAATTCATTATGATCCTTAATATAATAAAAGGGAGAGAATGGAGCTTAAACTCACTGAAATGGATAGTTCAAATAGCTGATTTTATTGACTTTATTTTAAACATTATCCATAAAAATGGTAATTTGCTTACGGTTGGATCAGTTCACATGATCATGTTTTATGATGCATATGTTGAGAATACTATCTGCCACTGAGAGCTATAGTTTTCTGAGGATGTGATTTGAAACATCTTGTTGTAGACGCATGAATTTCATTATCAGACCCTTGGTTTGCATTTAAAATTCTAGTGTGGTACTGAGCCACACATACACAGAGAAGTCCCAGGTTCCATCACTGCATGTGATGAAATAGGCATGACAGTGTTATATTACCTCAGTACCCCTTGGCAATTGAAGGTGAAAAAAACAGCCGAAAATCCTTCTGATCATTATCCAGTAATTCCTGTTGGAAAAAGTACACTGATTTTAGGTAAGTATAAAGTCAGACTTGGCTGTGTTGACATCTATAGTCAAATAGCCTGCCATACACAAACAAATGATCACTTAGATGAGATATTGGGTTCAGGCTGTGTGTTGAAGTTCTCATTATTAAGCCGATTTTTACTCTTTCCCTAAATACCTGCTCACTTACCTTACGCCTACGTGTGATTCTCTGCTGGTCAATGTTTACATATTTGCAATATACAATATTTGTGGTGTGATGTTTACTAGAGGAGATAAGAGAGTAAAGTTGAAGGAGAATATCGACGAGAGAAATGAAACCTTGATTACTTTACATTTGCCAATTCATGTTATATCCACTCCACCTACAGAAAGGCAGTTGACAAAATATGTTCAAGCTGTCATTCTGGAGGAGGAGGTAGAAGAACAATTTGATCCAATTTTTGGATAGAATTGGCATTTGGATCCCATCTTTTCATCCTGAAGAGAGTGGGCAATGCTTTTTTTCAGTCCATAGCACTAAATGAAACCTAGTGATTGTTCTGAACTGATGTGTTTCCAACACCAGGTAATGCCCAGATACTTAACATAAATAGTCTACAGTATCATATCCCCTGTAAACTATGAGAACACATTATACTTCCCCTAATTAACTTAATGATCCGGAATAGTAGGAAAAAAATCCTCCCTTCTAAAATAGGTTCTGCTTGCTGTTTAGTGTCATAAAAACAAAGCTGTCACAACCAGTTTTGTGCACCATCCGCTTATGTTTTCTAACCCTCTGTCATGGTAGTTCTATTGTCAAAACAATCAATAAGGGCATCAGGTGGAAACCTCGACATTTCTTTAAATGTGAAGGGATCCAGTGCAATTAATTTGTCAGGACCTATAGATGACATCAATATAATGTAGAAAAATTTGATGCAAATCTGAATTATATTGTATAAACAGTGTCATTGTACTCAATTGATGACTTCCTGTGCATCAAAGCAGGTGATTATGATTTGACTTAAAACTTGAATCATGTTTGACCTGGTTTGTAACTACACTCTTTTGAGTGAAAGTAGAAGTTCATGCAATTATTTAGTAAGATAGGTCAGCTTGAGTCATACTAACTAAAATGTGGTAAATGCATTTGATGTTGAAGAAAATTGATGTTCTAGTTTACACAATTAGGCTTCAGATTTCTTTTCTTCTAAAGACACTCTTTTTTTTAAACAGATAAGGCAGAGGAAGATTTTTTTACTATCATGACTACCTTCCAGAGGGCTTCTTTCAGCATATTCTCCCCTGAATATACCCTGGCTCATGTGAAAGAGTGGCTCCTGGGACCAATGCAGTGTGAGCCTTTGAAAATATATCCAGAATATCTTCTATGTCCTAGATGGGGAGCATTATATGTCTTATTCCTTAACTGGAATTTACAAAATCAATTCAAGGGGACTTTAACAGTGCTTTACAGGTAAAAACACAAAGCCATGTCCATCTGCTGAGTAGCAATTATTGACTATCACATTTAAATTGTGTTGCTGCAAGGAAGATTGTTCGAATTCAAGATCCTCATCCTCACCTACAAGGCAATTCACGGCTTTGCTCACTCCTACCTCTCCGACCTACTATCCCCCTACTTACCTGCCCGTACCCTCCATTCCTCTGGCTCCAGTCTGCTCCACATCCCCGCCCTAACCGCCCTACTATCGGTGGCCGGGCTTTCAGACTCTCAGCCCCGAGGCTCTGGAACTCCATCCCCCAGTGCCTTTGCCTTGCTTCCTCCCTTTCCTCCTTCAAGGCCGGTCTCAAGACCTTTCTCTTCAACCGTGCCTTCAGCTCCCCTCTCGACTCTACCCCCTCCTCGCTCCCTCCCCGCCCCTCACCCTGACCATTTCCCCCCTGCTCGGGTCCCGACCCAACTGTCCAGCGCCTTGGGACATCCTCCCAATGTGAAAGGCGCTCTGTAAATGCAATCTTGTTGTTGTTCTCTTTATGTCTCTTCATATCACTTTTACATTATGAATTTACAAGACTGCTCAGGAAATGACTTGTATTGTAAAATACTCAGCTTTCCTTGCTCTGAATGTCCTCAGCCGTAACTTGGAATTGTATTTTGCATTGCCTCTGCATGCGGAGATCTGACTCTTTGATTAAAACAAGTTATTACAGTAACATCAAGACATTTGCATGAGCAAATGATTAGAAGTTTTTTTCTGATCTCCAATTAATGGCAGTGTGGGAAAAAAATTGGGAGCAGACACTTAGTCCTGTAGCTTGGTCGTTAAAACACTTGCCTTACAAGTGAGAGGACCTGGGTCCGATTCCCGGGCAAGGCAAAACGTTGGGCAAGTTTCCTTACTCCACACGCCTCTGTTTACCAAGCAGTAAGTAGTAACCCGGTTGTTAGTCGATTGGTCGATCACTTTTCCGGGGCTAATAATCCTTCAAAAAAATAAGTAAAATAATAATAATTTGGTCACTCAATCCATGACTGTTTGTGGGACACTGCTGTGCACAATAGGCTGCCGCATTTCTCCCATAAAATATAATCAATTCACTTTACAGTATATTCTGTGGCATGCTTTGAGAGGTCTCAAAGACGTGATGAGGGGTTATATCAAATGCAAGGATTATTATTGTTATTAGTTTCCCGTGCATCACTTTGTCTCTGGTACCATTATTTGACTAGCAGATAGAGCCCAAACTCAGATGATCACACCAAGACATCTGCATATATGTGGAACATTATTTGCTGCTTGTAATCTCCAAAGGTTGTGTAAAAGAGACAGCTCATGTTTTGTGCCAGTGTTTTGAGATTCCAGAACCACAAGGTACAAGCAGTATTAGTGATGTTTTAGAACTCTCCTAATTTAAGCGTTGTACAACTATCTAAACCCCAACTGTACAAGAGTGTTCCAAATTGCAGCAATGTCATTTTCATTTTTAACGACAGCCAGCCCTATCCCCTCTCCAAGTGAAAGTCCTTAATTAGTCAATACCAAATGCATGACAGATCATTTTGCAATGAGAGCAGCATGGAGTGAATTATTTGCTGTTGGCTAAGGCTTATTGTGTGTAGAGAAGCTGCATTTTGGCCAGCTTAGTCATTTTTGCACATTTGACTTTCTACTGTTATAAATATCACTAATGCAGTTTGAACTGATAACTCACTTTATGAATGTAAAATTAAATTGTGCATTTAAAATTCCATTGTTATAAGTACCCAGGGACCTATTACCAAATTGGAGGGGCGGTGGGGGAAACAAAGGCAATAAATCTTGAGTATGAACCGTGCAAAATAGAATAACCTCAGAGGGGTGAATAGCTATTTGTTAGGTAAAGTTATCTTGGGATATGGTGCAAGGGCATATAATTGGAGTTACTGGTCAGACAAATCTTATAGAGTGGCAGAACTGGCTCGAGGGGCTGAATGATCTGCTCCTGTTCCTATGTTTCTAGAGTTTTGAGCTCATTTGGAGAACTTTTATTTTAAGTATTCAGTATTTTAAATGGCGCTAACCAATTGTGCTAAGGCTGTCTAGGGTTATATTACTTTTAAAACAAATAAGGAACATGTGCATCTCAAATTAATTGAATGAATTGAAGCACTATTTTTTCTTGTAACTTTCAGATTTTCGTTACTACTGTTAGAATATGTAGCCTACAAACAGAGACAGAAAATTCTGAGTTGGTACAGTACTTTTTGCAATACTAATGACTTAATGTTTCCCTCTCACTTATTATGAGTCTTTGATCATGCACCCACCTACATATGTCCTGATAATAATTAATTGAATTTTTTCTTTTTAGAAATCAAACCCATTTGCTGAGGTGCCTTCACAGTCTCATCAGAGTCCTTCCACAGGCTTGCACAATAGTGCATATGAGTCTGGGGTGTGAAGACCAAATGACAGATGCCTTGGGAGTTGCTCTTGAGAAAGAAGCACACGTAATGCAAAACATTATCACTTCTGCTATCTCTGAAGCTGAAAACGAGTTTACAATGAGAGCTAAAACAAAGAAAAAGCTCTCCAACCCCAGATTGGACAGTGAAGAGAAGTTACAACTGTACAGAGAAAAGTTTCAAATGGAACAAGAGCAAAGCTTTCTGGGGATGAATCTGACAATCAACAATGGTCTCTACAGAAAGATTACACAGAAACTGATTGATATGCAACAGGACACTGATAACTCTGCATGGAGACTCAGTGTATTCCATAGGGCATTTGCTAAGACATTGGTAAATTTGTAAGATTTCATGTTGTCATCTCACTGATAATGTGTGCAATCTTGTATAAAAGTAAATGTGTTTATAACTTGCTGACATGGGCAAATTTTGCCTTTATAGCCTTTTTGCCATTCCTATTTCCTTCCTTCATTTGTTTTAGTTGTCTTAAAACTGTTTGTATAGGTGCATGCAACACTTAATGACAGAGTTTAGTGTAATCCTCTAAAGTCAATCAACATTTACCAGCAAAGTACTCTGATGCACTAGGATTGAGTTTACAAACATACTTACGATTCAGGCAAGAGTAGGTCATGGGTTGCAAGTCATGATTGAGGCCAGCGGTTTGCTGTTGCACATTTTGTGATAAGGAAAAGACATGAAAAGTGATAAAAGGCCAAATATAAAGCACTGCATTTATTTTGGTCTTTGGTTTGAGATTTTAAAATCCAGGAATTTTTTTTTGAATTTCAAAATCATTAAGTGGCAAATAAGAAGTTGTAATAAATGCACCAAATCAGGTTTGTGATTGCATACTGCCATTTTGACCCCACTATCAAAGTTTCATCGGTTAATGACTTGAGATTTATTTTCTACCTGTTGTCAGCTGACTAAATGTGGAGTTAAAATTCTTCTACTCTGACACAAACATTTGCATCACTTGCATCCTCAGAACAATCCCTGCTGCACCACTGTGTTATTTCACATACCCTTCATCCTGTGAGTCCACTGAGTAATGTTTAAGTCCAAATTAATAGCAACTTTGCACTGTTAGTCCACTGTGGACTGGGTTGTGATCACCCACTTCACTTTATACATAATCCTTACAGCCATCAGACAGAGATGTCTATCTAATTGGTCTAGGCTGGGTCCAATCCCAGTTCTCAGAAGTGAAAGACTATTGATTTAATTCACCACCCACTTCCCCAACATCTTTTGTACAAACGTAACACTAGATATGCAATACAAACAAAACGCGTGCTAGTAAAGTGATAGATTATGGAAAATACAACATCAATGCATAAATGCATTTAATGGTTTATATCCTATAAAGCACACGTTCCTTGTCTGTCCCTTTCCGTGGAAGAATAAAGTTTATCAAATGTTAACATAAAGGTCCATAGTTCCAGTCATTGTTCTACACTGTTTTACAGAAACCTGAATTGTGCTGAAAACGTTGCAACCACAATGTTCTATGGTGGGGTGAAAACTACAACCTGTGATGTGTTATTTCACTTGTCATTCCAAGGAGACATACCAAAGAAATAGAACTGGATATTGTGGAGATAATGGGATACTGGTTTAACTGATTTTTTGGGGTTCAGTGAAGCTGTTATTTGGTAATCAGCACTCCAGTGCAATAATCAGTGACCAGCAAATGGCGATGACTTCAGTCCCATCCATTGCTGGGGGGTGGGAGATAACGATGGTCTTTAATCAACTACTAGTGTTGTTGACCACTTTAATCAAAGTGGTAACAAATGTTACCTGCGATAATTAATACATCAAATGTCACAATTTTTACTATTACCTTAAGTGGTGTAATAGAAATAATCTTAACTCTCAGGGAATTTTAACTGAGACAGCATCCCTGGACTTTTGATGACGATTGTAGAGATGATTGTAGTATTTGTAAATGCAGTCTGCCCTTACATTTTAATCCTTTTTTCCTATGAGATTATGATGATGGCTATCAATCTTGTCATTTCCTCCAGAGTAATTGGCTTGGTGATTTTATGTCGAACAATCTGCTATAGGATCAGTTATTCCTTTTGCACAATAGAAATCTTCAAATCCCACTTAAACTTGTTGAAAGCTTTGCCTTATCTAGAAGCAGTCATCAAAATTCTGACTGCATATAGTACAGCTCTTTTTGCACTCAACCTCAATTTGCCAGTGACTTAAATAGATAACCGGAATGAGAAAGGAACTGTCTGTCGTGAGGTGGTAATATAGTGTGACAGAAAAATATCAACTGAGGAGAAAGAGGGTAGAATAATCATCTAAATGAGCATGAAATGATTAAAGGAGTTACTCAGTGGTTTTACACGTATTAACAAGCTGAGATGTTTAACCTTTGAAACATTTATGCCATTAAACACATTTGATTTGAACAATATGACATTTTATAAGGATGTAAGAATGAAACAGATTGATGATTTGGTATATAGAAACATGGAAGCATGGCCTTATTCCTGAGGAGGATAAGATTGGAGAATGAAGAGCAGAGGGAAAAGGCATTTAGGGGAGGGAGCCAGATCAAAGTGGGAAGAGGTACTACTGGGACCCCTCCTGTTCCTCATTAATAATAATCATTGCATTAAATATAGCGCCTTATTACATCTTCAAGACATTTCAAAGCTCTTCACAGAATATACTGTAAAATTATAGAATTATACAGCACAGAAGGAGGCCATCCGGCTCATTGTGTCTGTGCCGGCTCTTTAAAAAAAGCTATCCAAATCAATCCGACTCCCCCGCTCTCTCCTCATAGCCCTGCAAACGTGAAAATGTAAAGTGAATCGACTATATTTTTTTGTAGGCGAAACACGACAGCCAGCTGTGTGCTGCAGTGTCCCACAAACAGTCATGAATTAAGTAACCAATTGATTATTATTGTTTTTTTAAAGGAATTATTACCCCCAGAAAAGTGATCCACCAATCGACTAACAACCTGGTTCCTCCTTGCTGCTAGGTAAACAAGTGTGGAGTAAAGGAACTTGCCCAACGTCTCACCCTGCCGGGGATCGAACTCAGGTCTCTCACTTGTAAGGCGAGTGCTCTAACCACTGAGCTACAGGACTCCACAATGAGTTGGATTCGCAGACTCAAGATAGTTAAAATAGCAGATAATATCAATTTAAGCAGAATTGTAGAATTAGAGGGGGTAGCAAAGGTCCTACGAAGAGAGCTTGGTAGAATATTCACATGAACTGATAACTGGCAAATAAAGTTTAAATACTGTACTGATAACTGCAAGGTACTGCATGTAGGTTTCCAAATTAAAAGAAAATTTAAGAATTTTCTGCAATTGTGTGTAATGTTACATTTTAAGAGAAAATAGTCCTACAGGACCAGGAAACACAAATACTCCATTGAATTTGGGGTATCAGTTGCCTGAAATTCCTGTGAACTTTTAAGTCCAGCGATTTTGACAGCATGTGATTATAATATAGAAATCCCTTTAGAAGCCGATATATCAATGGTACTTCTTCTAACGTCAACAAAAAAGCCCTCAGGAATTTAGGATTAAATAGGCAGAACTATCTCATTCAAAGGCTAATAGACATGAAATGTATTTCTGGGGAAATCCACTGAATCAGATATCATAAATGCATCAAAGAGAAAACTAGATCTGTTTGTAAGGAAAAGGAGATGTTGATGGTCAGAGCACTTTTGAACAAGAAACAATAAATGAAGAATAGGAGAGGAAAACGAGTTGACAATTTGATTGTGATCGTTATATTTTTATAAAAATGAAAAAAAAACTGCAGCAAAATACTGAATCACTATTGCTTTACCAAAGCTTATAAATGGAAACAAATAATACTTTTCTGATGTACCCCATTGTCACATGTAACTATAATTATAGACTGACAGCAGTAGAAGAACGGTAGTCAATGCCTTACCAGGATATTAAAAATCCTAGGTATATTATTTAAAATGTTGTTATGATGCATCTGAAAATTGCCACATTATTTATTTATTGCTGTCAGTATGTTGCCATTTTACGCAATTTAGAGAGGTGATGCTCTCCGTTTGAACATCACCTTGAATAAAAACATTCACCGTTTAGATTGATGAAGAATGATGAGTTCCAATTTTAGCTGGGTAAGCTGCACCCATGCAGAGCCAAAGATAGTTCTGTTATTACCAAAGGTTAAGATGATGATTGTAATAGCTCCCACACTTACTAATGCTTACGTTTGATTAAAGTGATGGCATAAAATGACAAATTGGCCCTACTATTTCAGATTAGGCGCAGTCAATAACAACGTCACATTGATCTTAAAATAGAAGATGATTTCATGTGTGATTTGAAACAATTTAGTCATGCATTTCCTTTTCTTTGGCATAACTTTCCTGGCAGAATTCAAGCTATCTAAAATAGAGGTAAAGAGGAAAATGTAAAAAAACAAGGTCAGTCTTTTAAACCCTGAGCATCCGGAAAGAAAGAACTTGTATAAGCTCAAATACCTATGAACTTTCAGTCACATGACACACTACAAAGTTTATCGGGATGGATCCAATTATCAAATATATGGTCAATTCATTTTACAGTATATTCTGTGAAGCGCTTTGAGACGTCTAGAAGATGCGAAAAGCGCTATATCAAATGCAGGGATTATTATTATTATCAAAAGGGTGGTTGAGCCTCACAAGATCAGTTTGGATGAAGCAGGCCCTTCAACACTTCTGATCTCACCTTCCAGAACACCCACCTTACCATACTCCCATCACAGCAATGATTGGAGGTGTATGGGGAGGGGATAGGCAGCAGGGTTGTCCAGTACACTCCCCCAGCCAAACTATATGGACCAAATAGCCTGTACAGTGCTGTACAGTCTATGTAATTCTACTTAAGTATATTACATGATGACCCTAATAAAGGACAAAATAAACTGATTTGTGTATGTGTGCTGTGGGTGGTTTTGGTTAGTGTTTATACAGTAACATGGACTAATGTACAGAAGAGAATAACGATTTGATGATGCAACATCTACTTACTGTGCACTGTGACTCTGTGTTGTCCAGCAGGCAGAATTCTGACTTACAATAACTTGTTAAGTCTGCACGAAAGCAATCCATAGAGGCTCCATGATTCCCGTGAATTGTTGCCTGAAGTCTTGTGTGACGAGGCAGCTAGTCTCATTAGATTCCGTCTTTTCTGATTAAAATTGTCTTCAGATTTCTGCCTATCAGAAAATAATAATTTGACCAAGGATGAGCAAACTGATCCCCTTAAGGAACTACTCCTTTGATTCTAGAATTCTTAATATTGTTTGGTTTTATTTATTTTCTCTGGCGGTGTTGACCCTTTGCTGAGGTACAGTTCCATAGGCACCAGCTACCCTCCTGTGCCTCTCCCAAGTGGCCAAGAGTGGGTGTTGCCAACCTATTTGTCTCAATTGGTAGCACTCTTGCTTCTGAGTCAGAAGGTTGTGGGTTCTTGAACTCACAGAGTGTAAGCTGATTCTCCATTTCAGTGCTGGGGTGTGTTGCATTGCCAAAGGTGGCTTTTCTCTTCAACCGTGCCTTCAGCTCCCCTCTCGACTCTCTACCCCCTCCTCGCTCCCTCCCTTCCCTCCCCTCGCCCTGACCATTTCCCCCCTGCTTGGGTCCCGACCCAACTGTCCAGCGCCTTGGGTCGTCTTCCCGACGTGAAAGGCGCTCTATAAATGCAATCTTGTTGTTGTTGTGTTGTTGTTTTCAGGTGATGCTTTGCTGGGTTACAGTTCTATAGGCACCAGCTACCTTACTGCATCTCCAGTAGTGGTCATTCTTTATGAGTGAGCCTTGAGAGCGAGAGTGATTGTTGTCAATCCAGACCAATCTTGTGATAAGGCTGACCCTAAAATTACCTGACATCTTGTGACCATGCTCAGGTTCCAATGGGGCAAGAGAGTCAGTCAGAAGCATGAACTCTCCCAAGCCAGGGACTCTGAGACCAGTCATAATAACCCAAAGCAACAACAACAACCTGCATTTACATAGCAGCCTTCGCATGGTATTGCATCTCGGAGTAGTTCTTTTTGAGATCAAACTTGTGACATTCCTGAGATTCTATATTAAATGCACTATATCAAATGCAAGGTTTAATGCTACGGCAGTTGGTACTTTTACCCAGTGGGCCGTTAGAGCATCATCTGACTTTGGTTTTTAAATACCTGTTTTCCATTCTTTGTCATTTGACTGCCAGCTGCTCTCGAGATCTCAGTTCAGTCACTATACTTTAAAATAAATCCTGTGAAACGCTTTGTGACAACCTCCCGACATGAAAGGCATGATATCAAATGCAAGGATTATTATAATTATTTAAACTCTCAGGAGTAGCTTTATTCCTGTAAAGTAATTACAATAGTTACTT